AAAAGCAGTAATACAAAGTGTTAAAAATTGTTATTTTAAACATACATCTCGTGCAATATATAGAAAAACAAATATATATAGGGTAAATGTATCAGCTTTCATTTCAAGCACAGTTTTCTATCATAGAGTGATGCACTGCTTTGATGCAGACAATCCTTTGTTCGCATTTGATCCCGACTCTGTTGTATCTGAATTAGCACGATTTCTTGCTCATGAAGATTTGATTGTTTCAATTAGCTCTTTGTTAGCGCACCAGTCACTGCTGAATTTTTCCAGGTGTTGATGTTCATCCACATTTGTTCCTTTGTTATATTTCCTTGGTGTTTCCTTAGCAACACAAAGAAATTAACAGCGTGAGCCACCTGTTTTTGTTTTTTTGTTTGTTTGTTTTTTGCAGGTCTTTTCAAACTACTGTGGATAAATTAAATAAAAAGAGCCTCTTTTATAAAATACCAACTCTGCTCAATAATTTGTTAAATATATTGGCTGTTGTTTTTAAAAACATTGTTAATCTTATTTTTCAATTTTGGCTTTCTAACCTTAACAGTACTGTGATGATTTCTCCTCATAGGTGCCAAAAACAACTTTTTAAATCTGTTATTTCCAAAATATTTTTTCAGCATCTACAGAAAGTGACTTTAATCGTCACTGGAAAAACTGTTACAACATTTTAATCTTTTTTTTTTATGAGATCAGAACAATGTAATCTGCCTGTGCTGTTTTCTTTTTTGTCTGAAGTGCAATAATAAAGTCATTTCAAGCGCTCCACAAACACTCGCACACCATAATCAGCATCAGTGAGCCTTGCTGTGCCTGTGGAGTCATTTTATCAACTCCAATTTCAAGCACTCAACAGAGAACTGTGATTGCCATGATTGTGGCGTTTCAGTATCACGTAATGCATCAGACTCTAAATAGAAACAAAACTTTGCTTCAACAACAAACAAAAGAAATAAAACCCTGCTTGTTCTCCACGATGCTGAACTATATGAGTTAATCTGAATCTCCTTAATCTGTTTTTGAGAACAGTGATATGCTCCGACTGTTGTCCAGTGCATTAGGTCAAGAAATGTTAATTGTCAGTGTGTTGCAGCCGTTACATACAGCTAAAGGATTTATTAGTAGTTAAGTGTAGACACTGCTGATTTATTAATCATTATTTGTATCCAACTTGGCCCAGTATATATGTGTAGCAGAGAAATATATGCACATGTGCACGCATGTTTCCGACCTATCACAAAACCCTCATGGGAATGAAACCCCCTCCCACGACATCTGTCCCACCATATCCAAAAACATCTCAAGATTTGTGTAAGGAAAACCAAAAAGAGCTCAAGGTGCTGACAAGGTCACCAAGTTTCTCTAGATTCCAATTTAACGGTCAAAAGCAGCAGTTCTCAACCCCTGCGCCGGTTCGTGAGTCGGTTGGTACCAGGCCGCGAGAGTTGAGGCTCAGGTGTGAAATTTATGGTTTTCAGGGTTTTTATTGTTAACTTGGTTTCCCTGGGTCTTTTCCCGTGTTGTAGTTGTGTCTTATTTTGAAAGAAATATTTACCATAGCGACCAGAGAGCATTAAGGGGCAGAGAGGAGGATGTTACTCTCAATGTTGTTGGTGCATTTCAAGAGGACATTGCTAATACAGTTACACAATTACAAAGTGAATTCGCGTTTATTATATTTACAAAATATCACAGTTTTTGTCTTGGTCGTATCATTTTATTTTGTTGTATTTATCCGCGACACCTTAAAGGCCGTGACAATATTGTCTGACATTAAAGCGGTCCGTGGTTGGGGACCGCTGGTTTAGAAGACCCAAAAGTCTCACTGACATCTTGGTGCCAGAGACAACAGGAAACCCCCAGAGGTCCTGGGTCCATATCCCAGGACCTCTAGGGTCTGTTTCACCAATATGAAGCAAGCTACACCCTATCAGTCCCCTTCATACTATTTTGCCACTATAAAGGGGACCTACAAAATATTAGGCAGACAGTTTTTATGATTAATTGGACTGGCAGCTTTTTAGCCCCTTTCTAGACCTGACCAGTTCATGTACACATCAGTACATACATGCTTTATACATCACACACACTGATGGATGCATCAGGAGTGGTGTCTTACCCAAGGACACATTGTCATGACCACTGGAGAAGCCTAAGATCAAACCAGCCTTCCAATTAGTGGATAATGTCAAAACCACACCTGTCACCATGGTTGGAGATTCTGGCCAATCAATGCAAAAAGTTTCATCATTTTCACCAGCTAGGTTTGAGAGTCTTTTTAGCCACAGTTCAGTTGTGCCATCCTGACAATTGTAATGTTTTTTGACTCTAGCACCAACCTGCATGTACACTTACTGCAATGTAAAGCCTCTGTCTGTGGAGGGTGTCTGTTTCCAGGGTTAATTGCAGGGGAAATAGCGCTACGAGGAAGCACTAAATGTCTGGAAATCTACCTGAGATGTTTTTGCTAGATGGCTAACGAAAGGCACAGCTGGAAAACAATGCATGGCAACGCAGCAAAGGTTAAATCGAGTATTCCATCAGAACCCCGAGCAGCGCCCCCGTCGCAGGTCTCCCAGAAACGAACACGGAATCTGCTTTTTGTGACGCGCCGCTGCTGCCAGCCTGAAATCGGCCTATAACAGAAGAGAACGGATGGTTTGTGTTTAACCTTGGTCTCAATGTCACTCACCAGCCTCATGCTCCTCCATAACCAACAGCCCTCCCCTCCTCTTCCACCACCAGACCACCTCCACAACTCCCCCCACCCTCAGCTGGTGTGTTTGAGCTTCTCAGCAGGGGGCCTGCAGTTCCAGAGATATGTGGGGGTGGAGTGTGTGTGCATACATGTGTGTTTGCGCACAGACATTTGTGTGAAGCCTTTCGGCTTGTCCCTGGATGTGCTAATGTGATAATTGAGTATTCCAAGTTCTGCCTGCAACTGTGTCACCATGCACAGACACACACACACAGCTAGTTTGTCTCAGAATAGCTTCCTCACGTCTTGATGACATTCTTCAGCCTGAGCTGTGTTGAATTTTTAGCGATAACATATGCAGCGACTAATCAGTTTGTTATTTGTTATATTTTCATATACATGTATGAAAACTGTACCCAGAACATCTTTACAAACTAGTAAATGCACATACATTATTTAAAACGCTATTTCTCAAACTACTCAAAAGTAATAATAAAAAAAATTGTGGATGTCTAATTTCGAATCACTGATGTAATAATTAAGTCTATAAAAATACAACCCCTGTGATAGACAAACACAGAGTCGACTGCATGCCTACAAATAGAACAGATTGTGCTCTATCTCTCTCTCACTTCAGGAAGATAAAGTCTCCAGAATTCTTTTAAAGGAGCCACCAGTGTGCCCAGGGACCAGCGAGCAGCATCCAGAGACCAGCGCTCGTCCCCCTGCCCAGAGTCTGAGGATCACTAAACTCAAGAGTTGATGCGTTCAGAAGCCAGTAGGTCATAGCTGCGCTCCGAGGCTCCAGGCAAACACTTCACAGACAAACCAGAAAGGCACTTTTGGCTTTCAATATTGATCAGTTCTCGCACATTCACAGACACGCACACACAGACACACATTGCATGTCAAAGAAATCAATGAGCAGACAAATTTACACTGGCTGTGAACCAAGTAATTCTGGTAGTGTTTGTGTTTTTTGAGTCCGTGTGAGCTCGAGTATATTCATGACTGACAAACAGGAGGAAAGAGTTGAAAAGTTGAATCCAGACCAAGTTCGGCGATGATGTGGTGGTGGTGAGGGCGCTGTGTAGAGAGGAGGAGAGGAGGCGTTGACGAGGCGTTGTCGGAGCGAGAAGAGAGGAGGGGATTAGGGTTGGCGGTTCACTGTCGAACCAGCATCGATACAACGGCAGCATTTGCCTAATCCCTTGGTAATGGGAGCTTAGCGGCCTCCTCGGACACACAAACACTCCCACTACCTCCTCCTCCTCTCTGCTCCTCTTCTTCTCCTTTCTTGCCCTCTCCTCTCTTCATTTACATAACATTAGAAACATTAAGGCGACTCCAACAAGGCCCCATTATGTGCGTGTTGGTTTTGGGTCCCATTGCGTCGGCCCCAAGGCTTTGGAGAGGAGAGCAGCAGAATGAGTCAGGACATCACAGAGGCTTGTCCACTGTTTTGTCTGCTGGAGATGGTCTGTGTGTTTCTAAAGGACTCATTGAAAGAAGAGTGAGAGAGAAAGAGAGGAGAAGAAAGTGATAAATGGTTTTCTGAGAGTCCAGAGCGAATGATCTGATTGCAGATGTGTGTCCAAAAAAAAAAAAAAAGCCAGCTGCAGAAACCTGAAAATGCACAGGCTTCAGCTCAGATAAGGCTTTGTTTGTTTTTCTGATAATTAATTAGACAGAGTAACATAAAAAGCGCCGTGGCAATGATGTTTCATGGATGATTCCTGGCACCAGAATTGTTTTTCAGAGCTGAGGTTTAAACATCAAGGTGACAGAACTGAAAAAAGGGAAATAAAAAGAAAACAGAATTGAGCTTTTCACCTCATAGGTAGCTGTTTACTCAGTCTGCCACACAGACACAGCTTTATTAGCATGAAACTATTCAATTAGCCTTTCAGTCTGACTTGAAGTTTGATAATAAAAGTGTGATATTATATCATGAGGCTGTGAACTAGCTGTCCCTGACATAAAATCAATGGAAAGAAATGCTAGAAATTGAAAGAATTGGTGTTTAATGAACAAATAGACCAATATTTGATTTTTTTTTTTTTTTTGTTAGGGGAAAAAATAAGATTTGTGCTGTTATTTGTTTATATTTATTTTGAATGATTTTAAAACATAAAAAACTGATTTAAGTCAGCATAAACATGTATATAAATAACTAGTGTATAAACACATAACTTTATTTATTAAGTGATTTCCTTTTAGCTGTAGCTCTTTATTTTACTTAGCTGTAAATTTATCAAATTATAACAAATGGTTACTTTAAACACACACATTTTGTGAATGCATTTCAGTGTGTTCTTGCTATAATTCTTTTTCTCAAATAAATGTTATTAACGTGCAATTTTGGGCTAATTGTCTAATATTTTTGAGCAGATGTAATTCAGAGTAGCACGCTGCATCCTCACTGATAGATTCACATATGTTTTTGAAAGTATCTAGACTAGACTAGCTGTGCAATTACTCACCAAGCGGCACACAAACTCACAACCATGAGCCAGCAGAGAAAAAAAACAAAACAACAACAAAAAAAGAGTGCTCTGTGTTTCTCTGCTTTTTATAACTTTCCCCTTTTCCTCGCTTTTATTTAGCCCCATAAAGCAGAGTTTTCAGTTGGCTTCAAAGCTCTGTGCCGAGCTCAGTTGGGGGCCTTCAAAGCCCCCTGTCTGTCGGCAGGTTTAGGCACAGAGAAAGCTTCTTGTTCTTTAAGGATTTGGCTCACAAATAACGCCCAGCCAGGGCCAAGGCAACTAGCTTGCACCCTGACAGGATAGTAGACAGACTCCAGCATTTTAGTGATGTGTTTTATGGGCTATTGCTACATCTATCCGAGTGAGTACCTGCTCTGTTTGGTTATGTTCTGCATTCTTCTGATGTTTTCTGTGCTGTCCTCTTCTTAGAAAATGGTGCCTGCTTTCAAGACATTTATCTTCTGACTGTTTCCACTAACTGTAAAATGAATTCTTGAAACTGAAGAAGTAAATCTAGAAGTAGTCTCTAATTCCTAAATGTAGTTTTCTTTCCTTTTTTGCATTGGATTGAGTTAGTCCACATGAGAGATAAAAAGTGCACTAAAAATAAAAAAAACTGCAGAAACGTAACTGCTGTTGCATTTTGAATAAGAACGCTTTCCTTGAGCTTCTCTTTAGATACAAACTGAGTAAGATCATTTTGCAGTGTGGACTATATTGGCTAACAAGGGCAGATAAGTAGAAGTTTTTCGTCTACACCGTCTGATATATATAAGGGTTTAAAAACAGGTCTCAGAAGAACTACAGTGTTTAATAGATTTTTTACCTAAATATGTGACATTGTGGTTTTATTATTGCTACAAGATTGATACACATGTTGCTGGTACTAGATTTATTTTTATTTTTTTGACATTTTAAAGCAAAAAGGATTCATTAGCATTTTATTATATGCACATAGTGTTCATGCTTCAGGTTTTGGTTTAAGGAAAACTCACGTGAAAACATAACAACAGGTTACTCGGCTATATACCATAAAAAAGGGGGGAGTCTCACCCCCCCCCCCCACTGGCCAATCAATGCAGGAATCAAGTTCAGTTAAAAACAGCATTTTGACAGTGAGCGAGATAAATCGAACTGCGGCTGAATTTACACAAAACGGAAGAAAAAGAAAATCTATGTTTGGACGCCAGCTCTGTGAATGCCATCGAGTATTATGTGTAGCTTGTATGCTTATAAAAATATTATTCAGAGGTATTGCTATATTTGTCAGATTTAACTTATTTCCAATATAAGAAATAAAAACCAGCACATTTAAGATATTATTTTGTGTGTTTTCACATTACTGCAGAAGCTTATTTCTTCTTTTCTTGTGTTTGTTTGTGTGTGTGTGTGTGGAGTTGTTCTGATGATTGTTGCGATAGGTGTCCCACGCATTACTCTGTGCTCTAACGCAGTGCTTAGAATTGCAACACTGCAGAATCGAATACAGATCATGATCATGATTTTCTATTTTCAGTGAGACGGTCGGCAGTAACTGATGGGTTTTTGACTTTGTTAGAAAGTGTTGCACAGTTACCTGTAAGGACCTGTAGGTTTGCAATGTCAGACTGCAGTGAGGATTATTAATAAAATGAACGTGGGGGGAGGGGTCGCTGACCCTTTAAACTGGCACTCACTGTCGTCTCCCTGATGTTTAAAGATGGAGGACATGAAGGATTGGGTGAAAGCACTTCAAACTTGACTCTCATATTATTTTTTTGTTGAGGGGATAGGTTTGTGTCTCCAGCCTGTGTGACTGCCTCCTGTGTTAACCTAAATAGCTGATCAGGCTCTAATAATTTGATATTCTGATTTAATCTAAAACAACGAAACATTAATAAAAGGACACATTTTCTGTACTTTTTTGATAGTTCAGGAGTATAGCTAAAAATGATATCATACACAAAGACAAATAAGAAAAACCTGTGTTTTAAAATATAATACAGCAGCTGTGTCATCATAGTGTGTAAAAACAATATCACTTTGCTTCTCTCTCATTGTAAAAATGTACGATACATATCTTGTTGTGCACCTGTCCTTAAGGTCTTCACACAGTGCTGTCTCTCACTCTTGCTTTTTACCAGGGAGCTGAGGATCACAGGAATAACACACACTATAACCTTTATTTTCCTCTGCTTCTCTTATTGTTAGTCACTTTGGATAAAGGCCTCAGCTAAACGCCTAAATTGTAATTGTAAATAGCAGGCCAGCCCACATGTTAGCTCACCAGTCACAGCACGCTTAAGAAAGCAATGCTGAGAGGCTGACGGGATGAGATCGAAACAGGCAGCCATTATAATCAGTCATTCAGCCTTTTGGAGTAGACATTCAGCGTTTGTGGTTTGTTCTAAATTTAAAGGGAACCTCTGTGACCTGCTGGCTTTCACCGGCCTAAAACCACTTCGCTTTCCCTCCCTCCCCTCTAGCCTTTTCCCTTTTCAAAGCCTCCGTTACTCTCCCTCACCCCTCGCCGTTCTTTCTTGCACCCTTTATTTTTTTCTTTAATTCAGAGACGGCTAAAAACTAACTTTTTTCAAAAGTCACACAAGGTTTTTTTGGAGAAATGACCTGAGACTGCATCATCAGCTGATAGCTTTGTCATTTTCTGTATATTTATTTCTTATACGTCCAAAAACAGCTTGTGAATTTTGCTTAATCAGTGATTCTGCATTATTAAAAAATCTGATTAAAATGGCCACTGAACCATTTCTTTTTAATTTTCCACTTTTAACTTTAATGCTGTTCATGTTATTTCATTATTTTATTCCTGCAATTTGCACAGGGTTTTCTCTTTTTCAAACTGGAAGATGCACAGACAATGACAGAGGAGACTTGAATGATAACCAAAGAATGATGCTGGCAAAGGTAAACAGTTTTTTATGTTATTTAGGGCTTTTCAACTGATTTTTTGCTACCTACATAATCTCTGAAAAGTAAGTCTTGCACATTTTTACCCTTTATGGATGGATATATTATCAAAATTAGTGACTCCTAAATGACAATGCTTGGTTATATAGCAGGGGCAGCAGCAGTAGGCTTTGTCTGCATGTGCCCTGAGAGAGGACGACAGGGAAACTCCCTAAGCAGGCCACCACTGCATTATATGGATAATACAGTTACACAAACGGTCCCGCTGAGGGGCAATTTAGACTTTTCCGGTGCCCCTGACCTGTCTGTTTTTGGGATGTGGGAAGAAGCCCAGCAAACACTAGAGGGGGACATGCAAACTCAACACAGAAGCCAACTAAATTAACCAGTGGGCTGCTGTGCTGCCCTGTTATTATTATCAGTCACACACCCTGTCTCTCTGTTTTACCTTTCCTCTCTCCTCCATTTCCCTCTGTCAAAGCACAGCTGGGGAATATTGCCTGTGTGTGTCACTTCTCCAGCAAACTGTGGCTCTCTGCTGTGCTAATCATATTTCTTCCGGCAAGTTGTTAACTCTAGCGGGAAAGAGGTGGGAAGAGAGGAGATAGGGATGCGGTGGAGAAACAAACAGAAACAACAGAGGGGAGAGGAGAGAAAGCACATGGGAAACGGCGAGAGATAGAGAGGGACAGATATGGAGGATAAAGAGTGCTGTAATTAGCTATGTTTTTCAGTCTTTTATAATTCAGTCACTTTGTTGAAATATGCGCTAGTGAAGGCTACCTGATTCTCTCTCTTACACTTCTTGTCCCCTTTCCCTCTCTTCCTGTCTGCGCCTTGCTCTCCACCTTTAAATAATGCAGTGAGAGAGATGGTTCTTACATACTGAGGAGGTGTCAGGGAGGCAGGCGGGAGCGTCAGCACCATCACACCTACCAAAGTGACACATCCATAGCCACACCTGCACCCTTTTCTATCATACCTGTTTAGTGTGCAGCTAAAGTCTACCACTGAGTAGATATTTAGACTCATACCACTAAGGTAAAACATTAAGGCCTTGCTACATGAAGGAGGCGGTATTGCAATGCATTTATATGCAAGCAAACAGACTAGCAATGTAAATTAAATTACAGGCAAAAGTGCCATTGCATAGCTATTATGTGGCTATTTCAAAATATGTTAGGACTTGTGGTAAAAGCAGTAACATTGATGTGCTGTAACAAGAATTTTACATATTTCACTATGGAAAAAATACTAAATTACACCTTGAATCCTCTACACTGTAAGTATACAGTAAAATCTGGTGAAGATTTCGCATTGCCAATTATGTTGGCAAAACTCTGAACAGATGGGTTTATAAAACAGCATCTTTTTAATTGGATATGGCGTATTTAGCTCGCAGTTTACAATGTTATTGCCTTTACAGTTGTAGGATATAGTGTGCTGTCAACAAGTGGGCTGCTGGCACGGTTTACAAAGAGAAAACTTCTTCAAAAAGTTCAAATTTCAATATTTGTTTGTTTTTAATAGAGAATTTTACATACAGATTTTACAGACTTGGACAAGTACTTGAAATGTTATTTATTCTCTACCTCAGTCTTTACCAGTGCACTCTGTGTTTCCTTCAAGGCACTGCTTACACTGGGAACTAACACTGAAAGCTGTTGGAGAATATTCCAAGCCGCAAAAAAATACATAAATAAATAAAAACAACTGCGTGAAAGTTGACCACAATTACAAGATAATTTGCTAATCTGCTAATAGTTAATAACATAATTTGATTATGTGTAATGACAGGGATGAATTACACCAAAGCGTGAATTACCAGACCTGTTATTTTGTTCGATTGTCAGAGATGAACAGTAATATGGTCATTTGGCTTTGCCTGCTGGGATAAAAATATTAATAGCCAGATTTTAATGCGATTTTTTGTGGTTATATTGTGTGTGTTCCAGCCATTTCTGACCAGTTTTTTTAGACGATGCCTCAAGGACTCTTCTGCTCATTGGCTCAGCTAAAACCTACTGCAGTATACAGAAAACACATGCCGCTGTAAAGCTACATTTTACCTGATATTGTACAGTACACATTCCTGATGATTCACAGCCTCTCAGGGCCTCTTCTGTTTTATTTGCACTTTCAGGAGCTGCTTTTTTTTCTTGGCAAATATAGACATCCTTTTTTTTTTGTCTATCTGTCAACACTAGATCTGTTGCAACTTCAATATTCTCAGTGTCAAATTTGTGTGAGACAAATATCTAATAATAGCCGGTCTATTAGATAGATGGCTCGTGCCAGAGTTTAGACACAGAGAGCTGTTTCATGCTGCTCCGCTGTTAGGAAGCCTTCAATACTGAGCTGATGAAATACAATACAATTAGGACTCACACTGATAAACAATGGATGGCGTGCAATATATTGACACTGTATTGCATTTTTGCATGCCTGTTATCTGTTCTCGTTGGAGGGGTGTTTAACCACGGTGTGACCTTGAAATGACACAATGAGGGTAGAAACGCAAAGTCAGCAGAAGATAATTACATTGCCCTCGGTGCTGTTAAAGTCTATTTAAAGGCCGTTCTGAAATTAGCTCTGTGTTTCTGTGATTAGTGTTGAAATATGAAGACAATGTTTTTATCGTTCATGCTGATTTTAATTTTACACACACACACCACTCAAATATTTCCTAAATTAAATTTGCTAATGGTTCCTCGCTCCTTGTGTACAAGGCCATTAAATGTGCGGTACACCCTACAAATCATGCATCTATGAGACGGTAACACGGCAGACAATAATGTGGCAGAGTAGATTATTATATTATTAATACGAAGGGGACATTTCCCCTATCGTTTGAAAGGAGAATATCACCCACACAGCTTTGTACCCGCAGCCGAGGCGAGACTGCCTTTATGCATAATTCATATTTTTATATCGTCATGGTGATCATGTGAGATGAGTGTTTGCTCTCGCAGCAGGGAAGCTGGTTGGTGTGTGTGTGTGTGTGGAGGAAGGGAGGGGGGCAAGGTGTCATGAGGGACAGAAAACACTGAACGAGGGAAGGCGAAAGGAAAGAAGAGGGAAATTGTGACAGGTAAAAAGAAAAAAAACAGACTCCATATTCGGCTTAATTATCTTCTGTCTAAAAACGGCCCACTTTCACATTTTTCCTAATACAGTTATTTTTACTCAGAGATCGACAGCAGGGATGGGACTCAGAGGTTTCGAGAACGGCACGTAAATAGTTTCTGAGTCAGATTTGTACTCGCAGTGCAACACACCTCCATGTTATCCCCAGGATTTTTATTGGCTAATTAACTGACTGCACTCTGCTGTTTCTAAATTCATGTGAAATATAATGTCGCACAATATTATCTGAAAATAGCAAAGACAAGACAAGAACCTGAAAACACAACAACGCGTGAATTAGAAAAAAATAAGCCTGGATTACTCGAGATATTTGCATTAAGATAAAAAACCCACAGCAGTGATGATACGCCTTTGCTTTGAAAGGCATTATAGATGCCTTCCTGCTGTTATTATCACTATTATTATGATTATTATTATTATTAGATTTTTTTGAAAGCACCAACACATTCATTAATTCCCCAAAGTGAGATTTTCTCTACCTGGAAAAACATTTTCTCAGAGCACAGTGGTATTGCTGTTCTCCACAAGATACAAAATTAGGAATTGTTTCATTCTTGTTCATAGAAAATCGTAGAAGAAAGGTTCCTAATATGAATTCACCTCAATACTTTTGTAATAAAGGTATAAGAAAAGCAGAAAGAAATAGCCGCGAACATTGATGTCCTCAACAATTTGTGATCTTGTCTTAAATGAGCCAAAAATGCAGAAATACCATATAAGTCATACAGAAAACATCTCAACATGCCCTTTGACCTTTCTGTCCACTTCCTGATTGGGGGGGGGCAGTAGTTTGCATTGAAGTCAGTAGTTTGAAGTTTAGCTGCTTCTAGCCTTTAACTCTATCCAGATAGACCAGCTTCCAGAAAGTCCTACCAATATTAGGATATATTATTTTTGCTTTCTTATTAGTGGCTCCATAGTGTAGTAGTTTGTACAGATTATCGAGCAGAAGCTCCGTGTTTCATTCCCAGGAGGAGACACCAATCCCTTTGGGGTTGCATCAAGAAGGGCATCCGGTGTAAAAATCTGCCAAATCAAATATGTGGAGCTACCCGCTGTGCCGACCCCTGGTGAATGGGGGAGTAGCTGAAAGTAGCTATTTTTTGTTTCTTATTGTTTTTTTTGCTTGTCTCCACTCATCTTCTCTCCATCCTGGGTGAACTCAAATCGATCCAGTTGCTGCTCCGAATCTTCTCGAGAGCCTCTCTTACACGCACACACAAACACACGCGCACACGTCTCTCGTTCAAGCTTGATATTCTGCTCTCCCGGTGGACACCATGAACTAGAATTAATTATCTCCGGCCCGTTATGGACACGCGCACATATCGCACATCCACAGAGAAACGCACATCTAAACACACATTCGCCCACTCGTGTGTGTGTGTGTGTGTGGTGGGGTGGGGGGGGGGGGCACTGCGTATGCACTTAGCAGCGTAAGTGTGAAGTTGCTCATATTTAGTATTCCCTCGGCGTCGTGCAGAAAGATATTGCAAAGCTGTGTCTGTCCGTGCATGTGTGTTTGCGTGCGCGGACGTGTGTGAAGGCTGGAATTCAGAACTGTATTGATTAAACACAGCAGGGGGTGAGTGTGTGAGCACTGCAGATAGCTCACTCACCTGCCACTCTGCAGACACACGCACGCACACACACTCACACCACACACCATCATGCACAAACATCAAACTGTCCGTTGGCTTCCTTAAAAAGAAGCTGCCTGGCTTTCGATATGATGAATAAAAGAAATCAAGGAATTTTAATTCGGCTTTGAGATGCGAAGTATCACATTTGTATTGAAAATGTGTCTCGAGCCATTTTCTGTTCTTCTTTGTGGCGGAGAATATGCCGCTGTTTGACAGGTTTACCATAACGGACAGTACATTTTCACTCAGTGAGTACAACAACAACTTTTACCCTCTAATTTGTTGGTCATTAAAATGTTGTTTGAATTTGACTGTAAGCGCCACAATGGCAGCGATACTGGGGCACAGCAGCTTCTCCAGTCCGTAAGACAGCACAGAAATTGTTGAAACACAAAACATGACGGTAATTGAGAGGCACTTTACTCAACACGGACCTTTCACTCACCCAGATTAATTCATATGTAGCTATTTTGTGATTTTGCATTGCTATGTCCTGTTCAACCTGCTTGGTCATCGTATCAGTGATATTTTTTGATGGGTATTCAGTGGTTTTGCAATCAGTTACAGTCTGATTCTTACCCTGTGAGGAGTTTTAGTATTCATTTGGAAATCTCAAGTCCACCAGACAAAACTGGAGGATTGAAAACAACATGGTGTTAAATGATTGGTAGATATTATCCATATATATCTCATGTCAACTTAATAATCAGTGCTTAGCGCGAATTTCAGGACCTCCTGATTGTAACTACACCAACATTGCGCCTGATATGAATTCAGAAGCAATGTTAAATCACACACATCATGCGAAACGCTAACATGTCACAGAGCTCATGTGAGCTCGTCAGCTGCATGTTGGAGCCGGTGAGACTACTTTGCTTGAAAAGTTGGACTAGGTTGTTTTTCAGTGCTTGAATGAGCTTTTCTAGTATTGTGTATGAACTATGTGTGAACAGAAACCAGGTCTTGAAGATGGATCCAGCTACGGCGTCATTGCGAAACCCTCAAACCACCGTATACCCTCCTATTAGTCAACAGAATGATCTGTCAGCACAGGCAGAACTGAAGAATTTGTAATATTCGCCTCAAGAGAGGAAGCCAAACAACAGTGAAACGGCCTGATAATCTAGAAATGATGCATCATTTACTCCCTTTTTGGGCATTATACATGTTATGAACACCCGTGGGGACTGTAAGGCTAATAAAGTGATCAGATTATAAGTGTCTAAACATCCTTATGGCTTCTCCTTCTCCTCTTCTTTTTCTTTGACCTGGTCATTGAGATCCTTTATCCATTTCCTGTCCTGTATGCTATATTTGTCTCCTTTCCTTTTCATTCCTCCTCTCCTTTCCACTCTACTCACACCTCCTCTCCTCGCAGTCATCAGTGTGGTGGCAGCAAGAGAAAAGGAGCAGAGGGGAACACATCGGCCGGGGTCATTCGCTTGTCTTTCATTCAGCCCTTTCCTTCTGTTCTTCCTTGCCGCAGATTCATTTTGAGCAATTTTTGTTGTTATTTAAACAGTTTGAAGCATTTCTCTGTCTTTTTCTTTGTGATATGAGGCATGAAATGCTGATTTCCTGTGGTTAATAGAAGTAAATGCTGGACAGGGTTGAAATCAGTCCCACTGGATTGTGGATCCGACTCTCATCCTGTGGACAACATCAGCAAGAGAGAAAATTTCTCTAAATTCATTTTAAATCCATGTCAGGTCTGTCAATCAACTCTTTACTTGGTTCTAAATACAACTGTGTGTGTAATGCTACGACACACAAGGTATCAGGGCTGATTTGTGGCGTACTCCCCTTCAACACACTTGTGATTGTCTGAAATGATGCTGACACTTATAATTGCGACGCTGGTTATTTTTGATACATCTCTAGTTACGTGTAAAGAGCCTCTCTTGGAAATTGCAGCAAACCATTTACTGAAATTTGACTCAGGCTGTCCATAAATATCACAAATAACATCCTGTAACATTTATGAAAAAGGCTGCATGTGGAGGGGTGCGTTTGTCTTCTCCTTCATTATATCATCGACTGTCTGTCTGTCTGTCCATCCATATCGCTTTCTTTTCCTTTTCTTTCTTCCTTCCCGTCTCTCTCTCCTCTTCCTCTATCTTTCCACACTACTGGGTTTTAATCACTGCTGTAATTGGCAACTCCCCGCTGTGCATGTGCTCTCACACAAACACACACACGCGTGCTCTGCCTAGCTGCTGCAAATCCCTCTGGCAATGTATATGCGTGTGTGTTGTGGGGGCAGGAGAGAGAGAGATATGGGGAGATAAGGATAATGAAAGAAGGAGAGTTTCAGAACTACAGGCCAACTCACCAACTCCACAATCTGTCTGCTGTGTGAAAGTGGAGCTAGGCAGCCAAACTGTAATTATCTGAGGGGGGCAAAAAGCTGCGTTTCAAGATTTATTACAGAACACAAAGTTGTTGTTTTTTTAACTGGAGTTGGTAAAGAACCTGACTCAGTCAAATTAATAATATGCCTAATCACATTCAAAGCATGCCACAAAAGGTATATATAGGAATATGTACCAGCAGTGATAGATCACTATAAAGCACCAATGCAATCTAGCAGCCTTGCTTCAAACATTTATATCTATAGACTGCAATATTGGGCATTTCTCAGCAGAAAAAAATGAGCTATGTGAAATAGTTGTGATGACATCTTTTTTAATAATTTCCCTTGTGGGATCAATAAAGTACCTATGTATCAATCTAAAAGATGGATATCTCACACAGTGATAGAGACTTAAAAATAGACATTCCTACTAATAAAGACAGAATCAGTAATGCAGGATAAATATCTTGTAGCATTTCTGGCTGTCTACTAAACAACCTTCAGGATCACAGCCAGAAATGCTTTGTGAATGAAGACAAATGTGTAGTAAATCAGTGGTGGTAAAGCACGCAAAATGACCAGGAAACAAGAAAATGTCGTTCGGATGTTCGGATGATGATGTGTCGGGTAGTAATGCGTTTTTCACTGACTGCAAGGATTAAAGGAAACAGAGGAGAGACCGCAGATGTGTCTCGCAACCTTCGTTTTCAGTTGGTTTTCAACCTGCATACATCCAACTTAATGTCACAGACAAGTTTATTAGATCTAGGCGGCAGACTGTGGATTGCAGTGCAGTTACTGCAGCATTGCTGAAATCTCACAGCATGTAGGCGCCTTAGGACCAAGTAAAATGATCAACCAACCATTTCTGCACCTCGGAGAACTCGAGGCAACTTTCTAAAATGATGAATCAACTGTTTGCACACGGATCCTGATTTGTTTTCTTCTTATGTTAGGTTTAGGTTTGTAAATAATCATGAAAGGTTCCTTATATGTACACTGAAGGAGGGCCATTGATCAGTTTACACTCAATAAACACCTCAGGCCTCCGTTTATCTAGCGTGGTCATAAGTGTCCTAAACACCTGTAATACTGAAATGCTGGAGGGATAGATATTTATCACCTACACCTCTTCCTAAACTAAAGTAAATTAAAATACTTATTTGTAGTACTAAAACTACTTTAGCCACTTTAGTTTACAAAGTCAGTTATATTATAATGTTACACATTTGAAACCATAAAAGTAAATAAATTACTAATATACATATTTCTCATTATTATTTGATGCAAATGTCACAAAAAAGACTTTTTTCGCTATCTATATTGTAGAGGAGCAGCTCAAATGTTACACATGCAAAGGAAAATTGTACACAACTTGATGAAATATGCATACAAGCACAGACACAATTAAAGGACTGCAGTATCAGTGTGTGAACTAAGTCCCTGTTGAAACTGTGTCCAGGCTTAGGTAGTGATTTTGAAGGTGTATTTTCTTGTGCTGTTGGTGTTGTCCAGCCCTCACTATCAGCACAAATCAGTGCTGGCTGATTTACAAAAATAAGCCTTTTTGTGCCAAGAGCATATGCAGCGTGTGCTAAATGGCAACACAAGCGAAAGTACAGCAGAACACATAGACTTTGAAAAGTTTTCATTCAGAAAAAACTGAGCAGGACGAATGTGTCTGATCACTGAAAGGAGTTTTTCGGATCCGTGCTGAATATAGTGAAGCTCTTTTTTTAAACCAGCAGTTGCCTACCAAATCCTGAGAACCATGTGACAATGGCCATGCTAAACACAATGTTAAAGAATCCCAGCTTTATGGTTATCATGGCACATTGACCGTAGAAAGAAAACTTTCATGCTTGTGCAAGTTTGTGTATGTGTGTGCTTCTGTGCATCTTTTATGTGGGTCACCCTACCATGTCTAATGGCCCCTTGCTGCGTGCAGCGTCCTGGGCTGAGCTGCTCCCTGCTGTCACACTCACACACACACACAAACAAATGCATAGACTCAGTGGGGGAGATTTTGGGGTGTCCCTCACCCTAATACCATCCACAATACACCAGCACTGCATCTGTTGCTCCTACTCTCAAAGTTGAAAGTTGATCAGCGAAGTGCTAGCATGTCTCCGCTCTCTAGATTTGTCTGTTCATTTTTATTTTTCACCTTAACTCTCTCTGTACACTTGTTCCTTTTTGTTTTTCTTTTGAGTTCCCATCCCTCTCCAAAGATGGCTAACTATTTTTCCAATTTTTCTCCACCTTTGTGTTTCTACTTTTGACTAGCATTGGATTGTAAGCGTTAGCCAGAGGCCCAGTCTTTGTCTTTTGCCTGTCAAAAAATGGAGGCAGAGGCTTCACCCTCTGAAGGCCTCCATCGTACAGACAGCTGTTTAACCTGCTAGCAACTGCCTCAGCCAGGTGAGCTTCTGCACTACACAAATTTAAACGACTGCTGTTACTGACATTATGTCTACTTTGATTGGGATTCAGGCTTTGTACTGCATAAACCGGTTAAATCTTTGACAAATACATGTGCAGTACTTGCTGCTGGATGGAAAATGCTAAATTGCTAAATGAAGAAAAGGGTAGGAAGTAGACGAGTTTAGTTGTATCTGCAAGTCGAGTATTCTAATTAAAAGTGTGTTGTTTTCCTCCAAAAATCCAGCGCCTGTCAATGCAAAGTAACCACAGTGAGAAAGAAAGAAAATGGCCATAAGTAAAATCTAATATTGCAGTTTTATTTACAACCTTCACTGTGAATAATCTGAGAGGAGAGGAGAGGAGAGGAGAGGAGAGGAGAGGAGGGGGATGGGTGGGGTACACCCAGGAAAGCAGAGCAAATACTGAGATGCTGAAAATTGAGATTGCTACAGTTAGAGCCCGACTATCCCTGCTCTACAGCTGTGACATACACACAAATCAGAGAATCTCAACTAAAAACATGAAGAAGGTTGAAGAGTGAAACTTCCTTCATCTTCAAAATCTCTTGGAAAATTTGCAGTTTTTTTTCATAAGGTCATTTTTCACAATTTGTGCAACAGTATGCACATTTACGTCCATCCATAAAACATAAAACACTGTAAAACACATGCAGACCAGCTCTCAGGCACAGAGAAGCCAGTTACGTCAGTATATTTTCACACTGCGGTAGTGTGTCTTTGTCTGCTTGTCGGCCAGCCAGCTGTAAGATGGAGGGCGAGAAATATGCTTTTAACGGACGACTTCGTCAGGCAAAACCCACGGCGTTGTCGTTTCTGTTTACGTGTGGCATCGTTTGCTCTGTCGATTTACGTCAGATGATTGCTACTGTGTTATTTGGCTTTTATTTTGTGTATTTGTGATTACTTGTATTGTATGAGGTCGTGTGTGCAGGTCGAACAATGCACTGATTGGAATAAGTAGTTCTGCATGTCGCAGTCAGCTTAGCAGGTAAATGGTACGCCTGTGTTGTGCGCTCCACACGGGAATGCACAGCGTACCTGGTGCGTCTTAAAATGTTTGTGTGCACATTAGTGGGGGATGGCAACCTCCTGTTCATCTAGCCACAGCATCAGCTGTTGTTCTGTCACAAATACACACACGCGCACACACAAATTGAAAAGCAGAAGTGATTTGTTCCAATCCTATTGCTGCAGAAAAGGAGAGTGCGCAATAATATATGTGACTGATAAAATAATAAATCCATATTATTGCGGCACAGCGCAGAAACACAGTCCTGCGACACATGTAGCTCCCTTTATGAAGCTTGTAACATTGCTATTGATTCCACTCTTAAAGTAAATCAGCAAACTTCTCGTTTTTTTGTTTTTTTTTTACTTAAAGTGTTTTATGAGCTTCTCATTAGCGTAATGTGATTTTCAGTGTCACCGTCACCGTCTTCTCCTACCTGACCCACCCGGACAAACCAGCAGCAACATAATCGCTGGACGCAAACTCGATGGTGTTTGTTTTCGCTTAGCTATGACAGCGATGCACTGAAGACAAAGCCGTTTCAGGCACCGGCATCGATATGTGACAGACACGGGCACAAAACAAAACCCCGGACATGCGTGGTGAGGCAGAGGAAGGCTCAGAGCGGCTCACACTGATTCAGACTTAGAGGAGGCCTCAGTGAGCGAAGGTTTGTCGTTGTTCCACGAACACAAACCCAGATGCTTTCAGGCTTTGATTCCAGGTTACTTTTTCACTGTTCACAGTGGGAGCGTGCACACACACATATATATACGCAGACACACACATGCACGCACACCATGGACTGGACTGATAGGATTAGAGACTCGCGCTATATTCTCTCTGTGTCTTTCTTTTCCTCTCTCACCCCCTCTCTCTCTTGAGCCTGCAAAGCCTTGATTATTCACAAGGTTAGTTCCTGATTGCATATAGCAGTAGCAGACACAGGTTCATTATCTCTCCACCTCTTTTTTCTTTTCTTTTTTTGCTCTCTCGGTCGAGCGAATAGGCTTGGCTCACACACGGACTCAAATTTGCAGGCTCACAAAAGACACTCTAGCATGTTGCGTATTATTGTCTTTCCCTTCATTATTTCCTTATTTTAAATCTCTCTCTCGCTGTCTCTTGATATTTTCCTCTCTATTTTTAGTGTCCTGGAACCCAGGTATATAGAGGATTATTCATGTATAGTAGGTAGGATGATGTCTGCCGTCGATTATACTAATAAAATTGCAGTGAGCTTGAAAAGGCAGGTCTAGCAGAATACTGATGACACTGTATGTATGTGTGCGCGTGTGTGGAGGATATCAGTGCTGCAGCAGCGAGCTTCAAAAGGTAGCCGTCGGCCAGCCCTCTGCTGTCACACAGGAGCTGTCGTTAGAAAACCTCCAACGGTAGCTCACATACAAACACAGCATACGAGGACGAGTTTCTGTTAAAGAAAGAAAAAGTATCAGTGGAAATGTTGTGGTTTTGTTCTAAAAGACATTTCCTTGTGAGAGTTATTGTCCCGATATTTTCCGTTGTTGGTATTCTGATAAATGAATGAAGCTCTTATTTGTTTATTTCTCATTCGTTGTCAGGATGTCGGAAAAGATTGTTAGTTTTTCCCCTCTTTCTGAGGGACAATGTCCCTATTCGGAGGAGGGTGCGAGTGCAGTGTTGACACATGTTAGTGCTGGCTGATTAGTCGACACATAAAGGAACATGTAGCCCCTCCATCACTATTCAGCCATTTTGTCTCCCTGTCTGTCACCCCGGTGGAGTGGATGTTTGTGTGCGAGAGAGGCTTTTGTTAAGGAAATGCAAAGGAAAGAGAACGAACGAGAGAGAAGACACCATGAAAAATTACACCGACCACAGCCAAGTCCCTGCGACCCTGGGTTGTTGTTTTTTTTATTGCTAATTTCTGCATCTTGGGATTCTACAATATTTAAAATTTCTATTTAAAAAGTAGAATTTTATATGTATGTGTGTGCTGGGAAAGTAATAAAATGCATTTAGTGATGAGTTTGTAGTAGCGCGTTGTGTAAGGTATTGTGTCAGATCAGAAGGTCGGTGGACATTGTGTCTTAAGTGGATTAACCGGACGGTCAGTGAGACACACAGCCAAAGTGGCAGCCATAACCACGCCTCTGTCACTTAAAATTTTCTTATGATACTGATTTGTTTCCCGAGACTTTTTCACAATAGCAGGGTGGAGTTTGTGCAAATTCGCTGTGTAATCTTTTTGCTAAAAGCATGGAGGCTGACACTGTCGCAGCTCACATATTTACCGACATTTTATACATTTAAAACGCCCACAGTTTTTTTTGCATGTGGTCAAAATAAGATTGTTTATCGTTGTTTGCGATCATCTGTTATTTAACACGTTTTTATTATATACTGCAGATAAAAATGCCTGAATTATTATGCCAGTAGTGTTTCAGTTTCTGAATCTCACTGGGTATGCAACATTTAAAAAGCTCTTGGACCTGAATATCATCTGCAATCTGCATTAAAATGAATTGTTTTATAATACAGAAAAAGTGACATTGTTGTTGCAATGAAATGAATAATCTCACTCTGCAGGTGTTTTGTTTTTTGTTTTGACAACCATATATTATTAAAGCGTTACAATTTGTATTTTTAAAGATATTTCCAGTATTATACAGTGCAGTCGGTGCAGTATTTAATTTCTGATATATGTAACACATGCAAACACACCTTACTATATATAGTATAATATTCAGAGTAATCTTGCTGAGCATTTGAGCACAGAAAATATGAGTGTGATTTTTTTTAACAAAAGACAGAAGAAATTCAACATTTCTTAAATAGTTTCTATTAAAAAGTAATTGTGAAGTACGCATTTGTAATTGTAATTTTCCCCGTCTTTATATTATTGTTATCATTATTATTTATGTACATTGTTTGATACTGTATTCAGATGGATTAATTACTTACTGATTGATTTTTCAGGTCTTGCACTGTTTTTGGAGAGAATAAAAAAAGCATAAACACTGTACCTGATAAATAGTCTGTGTACCTTTGAACAGCATAGCTCCCCCTCTGGCTTTCAGGAAGCTTAACATGTGCAATGCACCTCATTTGGTGGCATCAGTGCGTTGCTGTGACTTTGTGGTCATCTCTTAATTATTTTTTGGGGGGTTTTCTACTCTTAATGCTCAGACTAAATCATTTAAGCTCATTTTATTCTTCACATAATTGCGTAACTTCCTAGACAAAGCATCACGGTTTAATTTCATGCCCAACATTTTTCTATTTCTGTCTAAAAAGATTCTGTGATTGTTTTGATAAATTACACTATTATTATACAGTATTTTACATACTTATAGGTAATCACACAGATACTAATAATATGGTTTAAAACTACTCCCATGGATCAGCATTGCATTGACAAGAATAAAAATAAAATTAATACATACGTACTCGTGTTTTTCGTCAGTCTTCTTACAGGGATCAAATTTAAAATCATTTCAATAGAAGCTTTCATATCACAGTGCATATTATGCCTTATCTCTACAGATAATAAATACTTAGATGTTTCAGATTTGTTATCAAGCTCTGTATGCCTTATCACTGCAAAGTAATCTATATATGTCTATATGTATATACTTAACCTGGTCTATGATAGACTAAATGATAAGCTTTCTAAAGTACTGCGAATTCGATTGTGATCTGATTATACCTTCAAGGCCTTGAAGTCAAAGTCCAGTCAAAGAGCTGCTTTATTCCACTTATTTTCCTCATATTTCTGCTTTTTCGTCTTTGGAAAGTGATTTCAATAGAGGTGGACTCCACAAGGTTGCATGTGTTGTGTAATGCCGTATACGGTAGTTAATGTGCGTCTTCTCTAAAGATGTTGTTCTGTGAGGTTTAAAAGGGAACAAATTATTACTTTGTCCCTTTGATAAAGTGTGACTTTTGCTCCATTGAATTTAAATTTTAGAACACGTGCACATAGTGTGTGATAGCATTTAGATTTGTTTTTGAATGTTAATTACTCAAAATTTTAAAGGTGTGTTTTCTATCTAATAGTAACTATTCAACATCTTGACTATGAAGCTAGGTTGCTTTAAATGAGGCCTGTTCGTGTGTGTGTGTGTCGTAACCCTTTTGAATGCTGTCAATTTTTCAGTCTTTCAGTTTTTTGGTTTTATGTCTGTGTCACACATATTTCCAACACACACACACATATATTCATTCATCTCTATGCAGGATCAGTCATGCTAAAGGTCGTCTATGTGCCAGCTTGACAATATTGTCTATAAGCTGCTTTGGAGCAAGAGAACTTCTAAGGACAATCACCAAGAGGAGGTTTTCTTCGCTTTACGTATGGCTCAGTGTTAGCGTGAATCACCGAGGTGGAGGGTGGCGATTCTTTTCAGCTCCCTCTCAGCTGAACCCATTCCAACTGTGAATAGAAACTGCAATTGATTTGCTAATGATAGAGTATTCACTGCTAATAAGATGGATATAACAACCTTGTCCTTGTCGGTTTGGGAGAAAATTGGCCTCCTAAATTGATTAAACTGAAGGTGAACTGGAGGCAGCCGTGCAGGATGCTGCTTTATGCCGTGGAAAGATGATTTGAGATAAATGTGATGGAGCTGTTTATTTCAGCTTTTTTTTTTTTTTTTAACTAGAACGTGCCGTTTTATTATTGTATAATAAAATGATTGGAAATTTGTATCAATTTGTGAAATTATTAAGACAAATTTTATCATAATCGACACTTAGACTGTCAACATCGCTGTTATTTCTGCTGTTTTAAACATGCAGAATTATATTTTATGAAGAACTTTACACATCGGTTTGTTAAAAACATGTAAAAACATTTTTTTTTCCTTCAGGCCATTTAGCAAAAATGGTTATTGGGTTTTTATTTTACAATATATTTTTTCCCTCTTATATCAGCAGCCGCTGTGCCATGAGTTACTGACTGGAGTCATTTTAGGTTTGCAGAGTCATGTTTTTGGGTTTAGCATTTCAAACTAAATCACTAATAAAGAGAAAAATCTCTGTAGAGCACTATTTCGAATTTCACTCCCTTGTTATTTCCCATCAAACTAACATTTACACCCTCTCATGGCTTGTTAAATTTATTTCCTAGTTCATAATGATATGACAATAATAATGTTAGTCATTGGGCCCTGCTGTGGATGTGACACAAATGGCATATAAATCCAGATGTGACTGGCTTTAATGAGCAGCTGCTGACGATAATCCAGCTGATAAATGACTTTTAGGAGCTTTAAAACCCCTTCGGCTCCAGCATCACTCCACGAGGAGTTTATTTTTCAGCATGACATCACGAGATGTAATAAAATATCAGGGAAGAGTGTGGTAGCTTAGCACGTCAACCACATATTCGCAGTGTTGAGTGAAATCCAGCAGAAGCCGGCTCTGCCTCTCTGTGTGCCTTGTGTTTAATAAAACAGAGACGGGCCGTAGAATTGATTCAGAAGAAGCCGAATGGCATTGAAACACTACAATGAAACTTGAGAGCTGTGGCCTTCCCAGTGCTCTGGCTCGCTGTGTTCGTCGCCACGTCGTGCGTCTCTGTAGAGGCGTGATAGAGTGCAGTGCATGAAATCTCAGCATGGTTTTACAGGTAGATCACAGTGCTTGTACATCACACAGCAGTGCTATGTAACTCAGCTGTCTCTCCCATCCTCAATTTCCTCCTGCAGAAATCTGTATGAGTGGTGCCTCTCTGTCTGTCTGTGCAGGATGGATGCGGGATGGAGGACTTTTACCATGGCAACCACTAATGCAGTATAGATGCAGGGACTGAGCATGGGCTACTGCTGTAATAATACAGGATTCGTGGAAAGCAGGTGAAATGTCATCCGGGCTGTTTAAATGAGCACCTTTGAAGTCTGCTGTGGTTAACATTGAATCCCACTTGGCTCTGGTGGGGAAATTAGGCTATTGTTTCCTGTGTTAGTTCAGCACCCAAGCATTCTTTCTGCTCAGTTTCGATTCAGGAGCTTGTAGCTGACCAAAAAATAAAAAATAAAAGAGTCTCTCCTCAACACTATGCTATACTGCATAGCCTCACTTCATTCATATGTCAGCCCCACCGTCACATTGTTTCCTATATCGGCTTATACTGCCCAATCCTCATAATCCGTCTGTAGTCTGAGTCAAATATCTGGTCCATGCAGTGTCCTCTCACCTTCTTTTAGGATGTGATTTCCTCTATCCTCCTCTTCCTCCTCTTCACACACTGGATTACAACTGTCCAAGTTTGAAGAGTAACACCGAGCAGGTTAGCAGAGCGTTTTCACCCTTCCTGCTGTTTTTTAATATACCACAAAATTAGTATTGTTATTGCTAATTGAGAGCAGCAACATCACCTCAGACTATTCTGTAGTGAATAGAGTGACTAAACAATTTTGTAATTAACGCTGTAAAAAGTAAATAAAAATAAAAATGACATTTAATTTTTTTCATTTTTCACATTTGTTTAAATGAATTTGTCAAGCTCGCTATAAGCATCTGCTACACTGTAAAGTAAAGGCCAAAGTGAAAGCGTTATAGTGTAAAATACATGGTCAGTGACTGACAGAGTATATTTGGTTTGCCCCGCTGTGTTAGAGCCATTTTTCAGTGTCAAGAGGGCCATAAGTCGCAGCCTCCGCACGAGAGTGTCGGTCCAAGGCAAACATTCCTTCCATGTGTATCCCTTCTCTGACCTGCTGTTGCTGTGTGTGCATGTGCTTGTGTGTGTGTGTCCCTGTGTGTGAGGGCGTATTTGTTTTGTCTGCCCCTATCTATAGCTTTGAGCTGCCCCTTTCTTTAACAGCTAGAGAAAGAAACCACACCCCTCGGGCCTTGGCCACTGCACGTGTATGTGGTACTTTGCTCTCCTGGGATTTGGTGATTTCTATTGCCGTGCCATTTCCTCACCAATAACCACGAGATGCCAAACTCTTCAGTTAAACAAGAGCAGAAAAATTAAGAGAGGAATTTTTGATAAAAGATATTATAATTAGGGACACACGTGATCATATGTGCCTCGAAATACACATTTTTGGGATCAACACACCAACGAAAAAACTGGTCTTTCTTATTACTACGCTCACATACAGCAGACCTGCACATAAATTAAATAACGGGGCACACAGAAATTCTGATGCAAGTGTTCACACAGGCATAAGAATGCAAACACACATGCGTATGTGAATACACAGCACCGGTGTTAGCCAATGAGAACGGAGCTTGAACAAGACCTGCAAGTCTCTTGTGACTATCTGCTCCTAGGAGACTGGGATCTACCTGTTTTTATGTGCTTGTTTGTGTCGCTGTTGGCACCTTGAGCTCTATATTATCATTACCTTGACCTGTGTTTAGTCAAAGCAAAAGCATACATAGCATACATGCATACATGCATACAAGCATACATGCATACATGCAGTTTCGTCACATTCACACACGAGTCAGGATAACTGATGCTTCGATTAAAGCGCTAGTGCCAAGCATTCATTCTTTTTTCTTTTTTTTCCCTATGTGTAGTATAATGTTTAATCTGTTGTCATACTTGTCTGCTGAAATGGATCAAAAACACTGCTGGACTTATTTGTGTATTAATTGCCGGCAATTGACTAAATCCACCCAAAAATTATAGGAGTTGGACAGATTATTGTGAACTGACCTCACAGTGTGACATGATGCAGGATTGGAGAGGCGTAGATTACAAGCAAATATACAGAGCGTTTAAATTTCTATATAAAATGCAAGTAGAAATTAATCTTAACATGTTCGTCGTTTCAATAGTGCTGGTACTTCTACTAATGATGATGGTGATTTTATTGTATTCTATCAGGCTGCCTTATATTTTCCAATGATCTATTTACATCCAAACAAAAAGAATTTGTTATTAGAATTAAAATGTGCTTTGTCCTCTAAAACACCCTGTCTTGATGTCCATGCTGCTCTGCATTTATCAATGAATTGCAGGTGTAAATACTCAGCGAACTCCTCGTGCTGCCAGGGCGGAAAATGAAACGGCCTCTCCAGCTGGAAGAACAAGTGTTGTGTGGGCTCCCTGAAGTGGTGCAGCACTGGGTCATTGGAGAGCCACAGCGTGTTTGGGAACACAACAGTCTGTGTTTTTTTCAGCACAGCTTGTTGGATGAAGGGCCATTTCACAGGCATTATGGATTAATCTTTGGCAGGATCCCTCCAGGATCAAGCAAAACTGGGCATTTAACCTCACGTGTCACGATAGAGAGTTCTCTGGTGATAAACCAGGACAGAGAGGATTGAAGGTGACCCACATTTCTCTGTAGATTCATTACTTGAGTCCTTCTTAAAAATAAAATACGGGTACACATCCTTCTTCAGGTAAGTGGTACCCATGGACAAATAAATAATTAAACTGCCTTAATGTGAAGTGGAAAACCACCACACATTACTGTGTTATATCTCCCTGCTGATCACCCGATGTCCTGTTTAGGTACCAGAAAGTGACCGTTTGAACTGCGCTGCTGTGTCTGTCACTCCACCTTGCTGTCACCTGCACACAATCACAGATTCACAGCTGACACGTCCCAACGCTGCTTATAAACTGTTCGTTACGCTCAATATTGAAATGCTTTCAAGTTCATTTTGACAGGAGGTGTGATTGACAGGTGTAAATTGAACAGTCTGGGTGCAAACAGAAAGACTGCTTATATGTATCCTAGCAGCTGTACATGTGTGAACTGTTTTATTAAATAAACGAATGGATGTGATCTTGCTTGTTTTCTTGCATCATGAGATTAATTTTAAAACGAGAATAATAAAAAGTGATAGTATTTAATGATCAATAGCTTTTCCAGAGATACACTAAATCAAGAGATTGCGTTTCAAATGCATTTGATCTTTGACTTTTTTTTTTTTTTTTACAGACGGCAAATATATTTTTTAACCCTTTACCTGGACCTAGAGGTCAAACTAAACTGTAAGGTAAACCCAGCACATGTGAAGCACTTCCAGTTCCCTGTTGCCTTAATTTGACAAGGATACGCTATGTTTTGTTTATTTACTGGGCTTAAATTGTGACTATTGGTATTGTCTGATAAAAATGAAATAATGAATCTATTATACAGACATTAACATTTTGAAGGGCCTGTGGAGCGAAAATTTGCATTTTTATTCATGCAAAAAAAACAACAACAAAAAAACCAAAACAAACTACAGTACAAGAAATATCATCTTGTACTCACACTAACATATGTTCCTCTGATTTTAGTGATGCCTGTCTAAATCAATTAATTCTTGGATTTCTGACTCAGTTAACCACAAATCACCGGCAACATAAACAGCTGGATTTTCACACTGGTTTTTAGGAGAGTTGTATTTTTAGAAGGGCTCTGTTTAGGTTGTGCACGCTATATAAATCCAAAGGCAGGTATGACTTTTAATGAAGGAGTTCACAAATACAACCTGTTTTACAAGAGTGTACTTGTAAGCAAGTGAAGGCTTTAATGTAGGGATGCCATCTAACTCAAGCATGGTTATGTCAGACATTGCATTGTACCATTGTATCTCTTGTTCAAAGAGGGCTTTTTGTGATATGTTTTAATGTATTTTCTCACAGATTGCTCTTTTCAACATCTGCACCCACAAACACGCATCATGTTTGATATTAATTGTATGTTGTGGAGATGTTGGAGGTTAAAAGCCCTCCTGGAGGAACCCATAGTTAAATGGAAATAGAAATCACAAGCCTGTCACCTAAACAATAATTACGCTGCCTTTCCACTGATATGTGTTTTGGAGTATAATTAGAAAATCTGAATGTCTCGTCATCCTGTTTTCGTGATTTTGTGCCTTTTTCGGCTACATGAGCACGCACCTGTGAGATAATGTGACTGCCAAGAAGCACAGTCATCAGATTTCAAACTTTGTGGCTATATATAACAGTGAGTGGCAGCAGTAATTGTCACTGTGGTTTGAAAGCTATTCCAAATGAAATCAATCACACGCTGGTACTGTAATTGTCTGTGTCGCAATCAGATGACACAGGGTGGAGTCATTTTAGGTGATGCGCTCATATATTGTGTACGTATTGGCTCTGTTGTTGATTTCATTCCCATGCATCCTATTCAGGGACACTGCATTGACTGTTTTCAATTGGAGTTTGGCTTTCAGTAACCTATTCCACCCACGCACTGTAAATAAAGGTTAATGAAATAGCCTGTAGGCAGTTCACAGGAAAGGATTTACCTTTGTTTGCCCATGACATTGCTACCTGCAGAATGAAGGGGTACTGAAAAGGTACATTATCTGCTTTCATAACGTGGAGATTAAGGGACCGAACAGTGAGTAGAGGACTTGCAAAGCATATTTAAATTTCCTATGTGGCCTATCCACCAAGTTACTTATTATTGAGCCAAATAGAAAGTGATCTGAAAATTAACAGCCACAACTCTGTGATCTCAGAATAAAGGAAAGATCAGACTACTCACTTGAAGGACCTTGGCGATGCCCATAGATCACTAATAATTTTAATGGCTGAATGTGCGTTCTAATGGACTCAGGAAATATGATTAATCTAAGTCTACAATATTTATAAGAAGTAATTCTGTTATAGCAATGCCCACATTGTTTGATCAGTTATGACTTTAATGTGATTAATTGGCTGATCTCATATTTTTTCCAACTTAAATATGAAAACCACATTAATCACTTTTTATATTTTCTGCATATGTGAGATTTGGTGGTATTCACAAACAAGTCATGAGCCTTCCAGACATCACTGAACAGAACACAGGAAAGCCAATGAGAGGTGTTCCAACTTGCCCAGTGAGGTCTGTTTTATGCCCGGGGACATAAGCAGTTTCATAAAAGAAAGACCACAAACATTAGCTTGTTTGTTGAGCATTTAGTTTACAGCAAAGTACAGCAAAGCCAGCACCTCGTGTCACATATATCTTACAATCTTTTGTTAAGGAAACTAAGAAAACATCTCACTGACATTTTCTTTACATTACTTAGTCTAAATGTGTGTTTTGTTTGCCACAATTTGTCTCCTGACATTATTTAAAATGCAAAGAAACCAACAATGGCTTGGGCAAAATGCGGATGTTGTCTCTCTGAACATATATTGAATTAGAATTTGTCATTTTGTCTAATTTAATTCGTTTTGATTTCTGTTTTGTGTGTGTGTGTGTGGGGGGGGGGGGGTTGTTGTTTTTTGGGTTGTTTTTTAAGTTGGTTTGCTCAATATTTCCATTTTTTTTTTGTCTTTTGAGCAGGGACCTGGTGATGGTAAGAGCAATGAAGGCCTCCATTTCTCAGTCTGTATAGACAAAGGTGACAAATGTATGACTTTGTTCGCTAAAGGAAATTATCCTATGTTTCCAGAGTCCATGAGATTTAACTCGGGGGAAAGGAATCGGATTTCCCTTTTCGAGTCAGCCGGAACTTCATTCCATTGTGTATTCATACTCGTGCAGCTGTGGAATTTGGCTAGCTTTACCCTAAAAAATAAAGTATTTATCACAACCAACGCGTGTAGCTATCGAGCTTGGTAAATATATACAGAAGTGCGTAAACGTCAGACGAAATAAAGATAAAATATGGCTTCAGTTTCTACTTTATCCGAGCTCACGGCAGGATATGGGTGCACTCGAGGTGTTCTCCGGTCTATATAAACATGCCGCCATCTTACATTTTCCAGTCTCTGCTTTTCCGGCCAAGTCGGTTTCAGTTGCCTGTGGAGGGAGCGGACGAGGGCTCCCCGCTGACGCTCGGCTTCAATTTTTTCCTCGACTTTTTCCATTTCAGAGTATTTTTTTTACTCTCCAGGACCCGAGTGGACGGACTTGCTGTGTTGACAAGGGTAGGCTTCAACATTCAAACTATCGGCACCACTCAGTTTCTGTCTTTTCTGAATGCCAGCAGGAATGAGGACTGTTGTTGTGTGTGGACCGGCCGGGGGATGCTGCTGCTGCTGCTGCTGCCGCCGCCGCAGCTAGCGAGCGAGCGAGCGAGCCCGTCGCTCTCGCGGCATATATTGGGGATATGCCAGCCACCGCCTAATGGGAACATAACTGTTTTACCGACGACACTGGTTGACTCTTTAATAGCACGTGGTTTGTGTTCGGCATTATAAGCAGTTGTTTACAATAGCCAGATTTACGCCACGGATCAATTGCCGCCCAGTTATTTGGAAACCGTAAGTGGGATTTCGGGAGTTCACGACGATGGCGTTTCCTAGCGTGTTTTAGTAGTTTACGTTAGCAGATGTTAGCCTAACTATTAGTTGGCTACATTCCACTATTCTGACTCATGTTTGCTCGAGTTGAGTGTCGTCTGTGGGTCGTTTGTTTTTTCCAGCTGCTTTAGTTTTAACAGACTGAGCTGAAGATAAAGATGCAACCGGTCTGAAAGCTCGGTATACGGTGGATTCCGTTGTTTTATGGCGTAAAGTTACTCGTTAAAGTTGCGAATGACGGTTAGTCGGGGTATGAAACACGTAAACGTTAGCGCAGATGTTTTGTCTGAAGTTTTAGTGCGTATTTTGAAAAACTTGGTTTAAACCTGGTGTTAAGTAAAGCCGATTTCTGGTAGAGTGGTCTATCTTTAAGAAAAAAATAAGTCGATTTTAAATTGTTTAAAAAAGTTTATTTTAGGTCGTGGGCTCCAGTGTGTTTTCCACTCGTCCTTTTAAACAAAGACCGAAAAATTCCTCCCAGCCGTGGTGCTTTGGGAGGAAGACGAGGAGGAGCCAGAGTGTGAAATTTGAGTCAGTGGTGTTGGAGCAAGAAAGTCAGAGGCAGCCAGCAGCTGTGGAGGAGGAGGAGAGGGGTGGGGGCAGCGGCACGCTTACTTGGACCTTTTTGGATAGCGGCTCTCGTTAGATTTGCGTGAAGTGTTCAGGTTTTAACGGGGTGCCAGAGTGGAGCTGGTAGGAACAGGGACAGGCGGGTGTTTAATGAGGAAAAGTTGGGACGTCATCCTCCCCGACACAAAACGGCTCCCCAGCCTTCTGTGGAATAAAAGCTGTCCGTCCAGTGCGCTGCGGAGGCGGCACAGGTGCTGGCTTGGAGGTGTGTTTACATACCATTAATGGAGGTTTAATTTTTCAAGAAAGACTGCTCACAAAAGGATGTTGTCGTCCAGCCGCTCCAGATTTGTTTTCCTTTCGTTCACGTGAAACTAAACTGGTTTTATTTTGAATGCATGCCTCATCTGTTTTTCTTGAATTTGTTGAACGTTTTCTCTCCTTGTGTACTTCTGCGGTCCCTCGGTGAAATCCCCGACCCAGTACACAGCGGAACAAATCTTACAAACCCGTCATCTCGTCAGCAACCTTTTCTTCTGACGACGCACTGAAAATTTTAAGCTGAAAAACGTGGGTGTGGGTTACATACGAGAGCGGTAGTGGTTTTGAGGTCATCCACTTGACTATACGGCCTTTCCAGTGGCATTGCCGTGACCTAATATTGTACTTTTTCTGTCTGTCATTGCCGGTATTTGTGTTTGTCTGAGGTGGACTTAAGCGCGCTCGTTTAAACGATATTACTGATCAATTTTCCATAAACTTGCGTATGTGATGAGACACTGAGAGGAAGTGATTGCACGCTCTGTACACACTGCGCCCTATTTTACAGCTTGAATTGCGATTGTAAATATTAAACGAACTAATAGGGAAAGTAACCCAAATTCCATGGGTATTTTTCGTGTTTGTCCACAAGCGTCCATCACTTTGCCGGTGATACACAGAAAAAGCCCTGCAGCGGCTGCAGGCATTCTTGCATTGTTGGCAGGCAGCAGTGAGTGCTGCTGACCCTGCACATTATGTGTTAAGCCGGTGGCAGCTCCCATCTTTCTGCCTGTGCCGATAATACAGCTTGTTTGGGTCATTTACGCATATGGATGCATTGAACTATTTTTTTTGTTTGTTTTACTTGTTTGTTTGTTTTTAACGTAAGTGCATATGCAGGAGTCAGATGGGTTTGCCTAATTTGTTGTCTTGTATTTAAGAAAGGCATTTCTTTGAAAATACAAAAACTACAAATTTCCATGTTGAAATTTTTTATGATTATTAAATGGCAGGGAAATAAATTAAAGCCACTGTCCTTCAGAAGCAAGAAAAACTGAATGTTTTTTTTTTTCTTCTTTCCTCTAATGACATCATGTCACTGGCCTCTGAGCTCACCTGAAGTCCCCCCCTAAGGAACAGGAAATGGGATTAATTGGCTGCTTTGAATTTCAGTTGGGGACAAATGGATATGATTTGGTTTATTTAGTTTTTCACAAATGAAGACTGAAAAAGACTGAACAGGGTTCCAGACAGTGACCAAAAAAAGAGTAAATGGGTTGTGTTGGTGCCCCACCATCACAGGATGTGACTGCTAGCTGCTCTGGTTGCCTGAACTGGTGAAGAGAAAGTTTCCACTGTGATAAGCAAATACCTTTCGTACAGTGTACTGTGGGGACTGCAGCCCCTTCATTGTAGCGTCTTTAAACTTGATACCCTAGTCCAGACCACAGGGACAAGGTAAAGACCTAAACAGTGAAATGGAGAGCAGCAGTATTCAGTAGGGTCTTGAATTAAATGGACACGAACAAATATCTGTTACTAGTTTTTCAATTCTTTTCCCCATTGCATTTGGACTATATTTGGCTGTGTGTTCTCTCAGCACTTTATCAACAGAGCGAAGGCCAACAGGTATAAAATGTGGAACAAGTAGGTACTAACACCCATGGACGGCTAGAAGCTCTGACTACAACGCACAGAAACTTGATGTTTAGATTAATGTTATGAAAATGTTCAGTCACGTTTTGACTGTGTCAGTCTTTACATCAGTGCAAAAGTAGGGCACCTGAGTTTCAGTGGCATGCAAGGTTGATGAATATGCTGAAGCAAAGAAACCCGGTGTGAATAAATCATGTAGAGTTCGTAGCGCCGGTATTACCAGATTAAATTTTCTCATTGTTCAGAAAAATATTTTTTGTTTTTGTTAGTGACATTTTACAAGGTGTCACAGTGGACTTTCGTAGACTAACTAGCGGCTCACATCTTGATTTATTTGTTGGTTAGGTTTCTTTGTGAACGCTGTCAGTCATCTGGCTTAGTCCCTCTTCCTCACTGAGATGCCTTCGGTGCAATTAAGAGCTACATGTGGAGACGTCCTGCTGGTTCAAAGAGTCGAGGTTCTGCCATGTGAAACAAATCAAGTCCTCTCTTGAACACTTGTTCTTTAATTCCCTTCACTCATTTCTTTATTTTTTTATGCACCATAAAAATTAAGCAATATGGCATTCAGATCTATTTGGATACTCAGATCTGCTCCCTCTCTCTGCAGTGACTAGAGGCAGCCTGTTGGAACAGTTTGTTCTCTGGCCAGCTCCTTAAAACAATGTTTCACTATGTTATGTCATTTAAACATTAATGAACATTGCTTCTCTTTTTGAGCAGCATGTTTTCTCACTATTTATCAGGACAGTGTCACAGTCACTGTTCCCAAAATCAGTCCTGTGCTGCAGCAGTCTAAACCTTGTTGTTTGAATGTTGACCTGGAACCTATCGTAACTTCACCAGCGCATGATTCTCGATATTTCTGTTCTCTTTTCTGTGATATCTGCCTAGAAGACTTATGGAATATAACTTCCTCTGTTCCTTCAGCTCTCTTGGGGTACATAGAACTGAATTTATTCTGTATATGTACTGTATATTACACAAGACAGTCATCCGACTCTGGTGACTAGTGTGTCACTCATTTGTCATCTGGTTTCAATTTTGTGGCTTTCAACTCCACCAGGCACGACTACATATTGGATTTCACATCTGGCTTCAAAGAAACCTGTTCAGATTTTTGTGGCCGGTTTGAAATCTAGGACCGCATACTGTAATGATTTTTTTTGTTGTTGTTCTTTATAGTGACTTTAGGGTAAGGCTGCCATTTGTGAACCACAGTTTAATGCCAGACTTTGCTTGTTTAGCCCATCACAAAAAACCTCCAAAAAACTACTGGCTCAGTTTCCAAAGCCAGTTGTAAAGAACCACTTTTCCACCAGTGTGAATCATAAATTGTTCCATTATGTGCTTTGATTGTATGTCTGATTTGTATGGGATATGTGGCTCCCATTAGGAGCAAGCTGGGTTATGTGAGGGCAGGACTACAATGGCGGGAGGATGGCGTGTGAACAGTGAATTTGTGCCTTTGTGGTTAGAAGCAGCAGTCTTGGAGCATGACTCAAGATCAGGTTTTAATGATACAGCTGAGCTAAGGTGGTGTGGTTGAGGAGGAAAGTAATTCAGAGCAGTATTTAACTGTCCTTGAGTATATTTGCATGTTGGCAGCCACTGAACCCAAGCAACTCCTACACACTCACTGGCATTCATACTGGACTGCCTTTTTTTTTTGTCAGCCACTGCTGCGAATTTGTCTTCCATTTGGCCTTTTGTCATCTTTTTTTAGCATAACTTGCTGGGAAGAAAAGCTATTAAACTCAAGCTTATGGTGATGTGTTGCTGTTTTTCTTGTTTGATTTTAAACTAGGTATTTTTAGCAGAGTGTATTATGTACTTTTTGGGGCACTTGTACGCAGAGTACAATCTACAAATATGTGTACATCTAGATGACTACAGAGTTGATTAAAAACAAGCCAAATTCTCTACTGCTGTCAGATAAATACAGTCCACAGGCCTGTAATCAAAACCTGTGTGTGAGAGTGTGTGAGAGTGTGTGAGAGTGTGTGAGAGTGTGTGAGAGTGAGAGTACTGCCCCCTAAAAGATTAGATCGTAATCAACAAGAAGAATCTTAGTTCAAGGTTTAAAACAAGCTACGGTATGTTGGTTAGTCCACCGAAAGTAGCATCATTCAGACACAAACATTAGTCTTTCCTCAGCTGATTCTGTGGTTATTGGATTGTAATTAAATGATGAATTCTAGCCTGAGATCATTGAGAGGAAGAAAGACTCGAAGGTGACTTTCTAACTCAGCAGAGAGTTGTGTTAACCTTCTTGCTGGTGTCCATGACACAGTCATCGCCAATTTGTTAGTATCAGTAATGGTGTTTAAAACGTTATTTGTATTTCTCTGTAATGTAGTACATTCATAACAATGTTATGACATTTTCTCCCAGAAGTGGAACTTAAAGCCGTCTAATGCTCTGCAGAAATGAGCTACAACTAGAAAGAAAATCTTTCCTTCATATATGACTGTCACTGGACATTAGTTGACAAAATACAAATAAGTAGGCAAACTATGTCAAATATTTTTTGCATTCATTTAAAATATTTTTTTCAAGAACTAAATCTGACACACACCTTTTGCTGTAAGGAAAGCTTGTTCACAATTTGAGTAATTTGAAAATCTAAAATGTTTTTTGTGAAAAATTAGGTTACTTTGATTAGCACTGTTAGTTTGACTGACCTAAATCTGCAGTTGTGTAAAGATTGAAGTGACTATGTTCAGTCATGCAGGAGAGAAGGGTGTGCTTCATGTGGACACAGCTTCCAGGTCTGAGGGTGAATCAAACACTGAGGGACTGAAACATGCCTTCTTTCTAATGGCCACCAGGGGGAAGAGACTCTGGTGGTAACAAGACTTTGTTTATCTATTTTTGTTGATGTAGTTGAGGAAATGCTATGGTTTTAACTACCTGTGCTTTCTTTACCAGAATTAATTTATGGCTTTGTGCGCCTCTGGTATTAGAGCGTGCCTGAACTTATGTGGTGATTTGAAAGGGATTTGGTCTCTCATTTTTCTGCTCCATAACCACAGGTGTACTTTTGAAAGGGTTTCATGAAAGGATTTGAGACTCCATGGATACACAGCCCCGGTTTATGTCTCATTTTAGCAGATATTTTCTTAGGCCTTTTCCCCAGTCTCCATTTTATGCTTTCCTGCCATAACATTTATCTTCGAGTATGAATTGAAAATGCCTCTCTCAGTTTGCCGTGCTTTTTTCCCCCAAATTAATCCCCGTTTGCCTGCTCTACCCTTCTCCTGCCATTGCCAGTGTTTACTTTCCTGCAGAGCGTTTCCAGCTTCAAAGCAAGTGCAGGAATGTGAATGCCCCCTCCCACCCCTGCCTCCTTTCTCCACCCAGTGCTCTACTTCCCCTGTCCTTCCTCACCTAAATAGTTGGTAGCAGCTACATTTAATGGTAGCCTTGTGTGTGCTGCTGTTTGCACGACTGGCTTAAAAGGGAAGAGGAAACCCAAGAACGGGAGGAGACAGGAAAGAAAGCACTGGAAAGTCACTTCTCTAGACTCTATTTTTTTTTTTTTAAACTTCTATTAATTTCAGTCTAATTTTTTTCTCTGCGTTTACATCTGCTGTGGTCTTGTATATGTGTTTAGTGTAAAATGGTCGGTGATTTAATGGCTGTGAATGGTGTAGAGAAGGTAGCTGCATAGCTGAAATAATTTATTTTTTTTCCTGTTACAGATCAGGAAGCTGTGTCAGCCACGGTTTGAGAAAGGAACATGGCTTCCCAGGGTGAGTTTGAGTCCCCCTTAATTAAGTTCCCACCCTTTGCTTCTTCCTCAGTCACACATGCAGTGTATTAAACTTTACAGCCGACCAAAATTACAGCTTGGCTTGGTAGAGATTTATGTTGCCATTAAAGCACGCTGAATTAGTTATTGATTTCAATTTGAAACTTGGGGCACATGTAAAATCCAACTTCATGCTTCAGAAGTCTTTTACTGGTAAACCCTACTACACTGAATTATGAAAACACTGGAAAATAATAGCAGGACAGAAATCTATTCACTGCAGAGGCTATTAACCATTGCTGATGCACTCACCCTGTGACATCAGCACACCACTGTTATTACTTTTAAAGTCAGCCATGTCTTTGAAAAGCTCAAGCCTTTGACAAATTTGGATAGTTGGAATTAATCACTTAAAGTCTGTAACTCTACACATCCTTTGAAATTACAGAATAGACTTTTTGTTGAATGCATGCTTTTCTCTTTCCAGCTGATCTGATGGAACTAGACATGGCCATGGAGCCAGACCGCAAGGCAGCAGTCAGTCACTGGCAGCAACAGTCCTACCTGGATTCAGGCATCCACTCAGGGGCCACCACAACTGCTCCATCCCTCAGTGGGAAGGGCAACCCTGAGGAAGATGATGTTGACAGCAACCAGGTCATGTATGAGTGGGAGCAGGGTTTCAACCAGAACTTCTCCCAAGAGCAAGTACAAGGTAGGTTATAATGCTGGTGATCTTTTCAAGGAAGGTCACGGGTGACCCGTTTGCAAATCATACAAAGCTGGTCTTGTTTGCTTTCAGACCTAGATGGTCAGTACGCCATGACACGTGCCCAGCGGGTTCGTGCAGCAATGTTCCCAGAGACTCTTGAGGAGGGCATGCAGATCCCTTCTACACAGTATGATGCAGCAAACCCCACCAATGTCCAGAGGCTGGCAGAGCCGTCACAAATGCTCAAACATGCTGTGGTCAATCTGATCAACTATCAAGATGATGCTGAGCTGGCAACAAGAGCAATACCAGAGCTCACCAAACTTCTCAATGATGAGGACCAGGTGAATATGTTTGTGGCTCAGAACTGTCTCAGAAATAATTTTGTCCTCTTTGATATGATTCGCTAATGTTAGTTTTCATCCCCTCCAGGTTGTAGTAAACAAAGCAGCAGTGATGGTTAACCAGCTTTCAAAGAAAGAAGCTTCTCGCCACGCTATCATGCGCTCACCTCAGATGGTATCTGCTATTGTGAGGACCATGCAGAACACAAACGATGTGGAAACAGCTCGCTGCACTGCAGGAACACTGCACAACCTTTCCCATCACAGAGAGGGACTGCTGGCTATCTTCAAGTCAGGAGGAATACCAGCTCTAGTTAAAATGCTGGGGTATGTAGGAGGAGAGTGGAGGCATACTTTTCCCCCTTCCCCTCTGGGTCTACATTTGTCTGCTGTACTTTAGCTCACCAGTGCATGAAGCAGAGCAATGTTTTGATCAGAGACAAGGAAATCATCACACCATGATTTTTGGCCAAAGCTGACATGAAGAAATTGTCTCAGTTCACTGAGACTGTGGAGAGGAAGGACAGCAGAGAAACTTCATCTGTATATCTGTTAGTAATTTTCCAGTAATTGAGTAATCTTCTCTTCTGCAGTTCACCAGTGGACTCTATCCTGTTCTATGCCATCACCACCCTCCACAACCTTCTCCTGCACCAGGAAGGAGCCAAGATGGCTGTTCGTTTAGCTGGCGGGCTACAGAAAATGGTGGCTCTGCTCAGCAAAACCAATGTCAAGTTTCTGGCCATCACCACCGACTGTCTCCAAATACTGGCCTATGGAAACCAGGAAAGCAAGGTGAGGGGGCTAGTGTGTTGAAACCTGTTGAGGCAAGAAACTGACTTATGTACGTCTAGACTGCAGTGTGTTACTCTGGATTTGACACGCAGATCAACATATTTGTTTGCTTTCTGTTTGTGTAGTTGATAATCCTGGCCAGTGGTGGCCCCCAGGCACTCGTCAACATCATGAGAACTTATACCTATGAGAAGCTGTTGTGGACCACAAGCCGTGTCCTCAAGGTTCTGTCGGTGTGCTCCAGTAACAAGCCTGCCATTGTAGAGGCTGGTATGTTTTATAAACTTGCAGTACAGAAAACTCAACACCACAAAGTTGAGATCGTATACATTTTGAAATGTATTTTCTTACCTTGCGTATGTAAACACTATGTGCCCTTGATTTCCTTCTGTTAGGAGGCATGCAGGCTCTGGGACTCCACCTGACAGATCCCAGCCAGAGACTGGTCCAGAACTGTCTCTGGACTCTCAGGAACTTGTCAGATGCTGCCACCAAACAGGTGAGGCAAGCTGCCCCATTACCAGTACCTGTGTGTTAATCATTAGTTTCAGGCTGTGAAATACATCAGAAGACATTTAAATTGACTTTTTGTTGATGCTATTTATCAATCCTTATACCCAGGAGGGAATGGAGGGTCTGCTAGGAACTCTGGTGCAGCTGCTTGGCAGTGATGACATTAACGTGGTGACCTGTGCAGCTGGCATCTTATCTAATCTGACCTGCAACAACTACAAGAACAAGATGATGGTGTGCCAGGTGAGCACTTTATTTATTTTTTGCAAAGGAAAATGTAAAATTTCTATAATACGAAGTGATGTGTTTTAACTAGCAGTTTTTCTCATTTAAAAAATAAAATGTATATAAAAATTTAGTTTTAAATCTGTATTTAAATTATAGGCCCAGATTTTCTGCTGCATTCACAATCTGCCACCTCATTTGTTCCTCTCTAGGTTGGAGGCATTGAGGCGTTGGTTCGCACGGTGCTTCGGGCTGGAGACAGAGAAGACATCACAGAGCCAGCTATTTGTGCCCTGCGTCACCTCACTTCTCGACACCAGGATGCTGAGATGGCACAGAACGCTGTCAGACTGCACTATGGCCTGCCTGTAGTGGTCAAATTACTGCACCCGCCATCACACTGGCCACTCATCAAGGTACACACAGAGACTTGGCAGCAGCACTCTGTAAGCTGCTCTTCATAATGCCAGCCACTCGTGCTGCTATTCATTTAGTGCAGTGAAAATCACTTCACTCTTAACTACGTTTTGATGCTAAAATAATGAGCTGAATATTGTAGGCTGTCATAAACATGTCAGTCATTTCCACTGTTATATTACATGTACTGATAGACAGGAAATATTTTTTTTTGTTCAAGTGCAATCAGCTTGTTTAATAATTGACTTTAAGATGAGAAATTAAGTTGAAATAATATTTTTCAGTAAATCTGTCTACAAATATACATCAAGACAAAAGTTTTCTGTATGGTTCTGGATTATGGGTGGCTAATGGGTAACCTGAGAGTGACATTAAAATCGTGACTAAATGACACATAACTGTGTTCTTCTGTCAGGCTACAGTTGGTCTGATCCGTAACCTGGCTCTCTGCCCTGCAAACCACGCCCCTTTGAGGGAGCAGGGCGCCATCCCCAGACTGGTTCAGCTGCTGGTCAGAGCACATCAAGACACACAAAGACGCACCAGCATGGGAGGCACACAGCAGCAGTTTGTGGTAAGAGCGCACATATTCTCATCATTTCAATGAATTCACACAGCTTTAATAAATACCAGTCCATGGTGCCTGGAATTCACTGAGAGAGCAGTAGTTCTCAGTACTACCCGGTCTACTAAGAAGTCTGTAGAGAGAGATGCTGCAAGTGCACTGATCTTACGCTGTTTGTTTATTAGGAGGGAGTACGTATGGAGGAGATTGTGGAAGGGTGTACAGGAGCACTTCACATCCTGGCCAGAGATGTCCACAACAGAATAGTCATCAGAGGACTCAACACCATTCCACTCTTTGTACAGGTCAGTCTGCAGATTTAATCTCAAAAAGTAAAACAATATAATTTAACCAAGATTACGGATGATATTTTTAGTATTGAGATTAATTTGTTTGAAGCTTGTCTGGATTAAACAGGAGAACTGGGTTAGAAAAATGATCCCAGATAGAGGTTGTTTGGGTGGATGCATGAGGTGGTTCTCCAGAGGGAACAAATTGTAGTATCATGAGGCTGCATCTGTGGAGGCTCAGTATTTTATTTATTTTTTCACTAAGCTGTTGGTCTGTGTTTGTGTGCAGCTGCTGTATTCTCCCATTGAGAACATCCAGCGTGTAGCAGCAGGCGTCCTGTGTGAGCTCGCTCAGGATAAAGAGGCCGCTGAGGCCATCGAAGCTGAGGGAGCCACTGCTCCACTCACAGAGCTATTGCACAGCCGCAATGAAGGAGTTGGTATGTACCCAAAACACTCATTTACACAACGCTATCAGTCACATAATAGCTGCATTTAACTATGCAGATGTTCAGAAGTGCCAGTCTAACTGTGCAATGAGGGGATTTAATTGGATAACACGCTGGCACTTGGAAATAATTGTTTGTGTTTTCCTGGAAGACTCTTTAGTGTGATGTGGACCTAAAGTGGCATCTTGAAAATTTGCAGCTCTAGCGGTTCAATGTAGCTGCTGCTTTTTGTTCAGTAACTCTCTTTTGTTCAGGCTCATCTGCTGTCATGCAGAGACGCACTGTGGGCTTGTGTTGTAGCACATGGTTGAAGAATCTAAGTAGGAGCCAAGCTTGCTCTTAAAACAGTTATATTTATGGTGACAACTTCATTATATTGTTGCATATATGTAAATGTCACAACACTTGGATCAGTGTAGTCCAGTCTCATGTGCAGCCTGGGCCTCTAAATGATGTGGAGAACGCTAGTTGAATAAACTTTCTAGTCATGGGTAATACCTAGTCTCTGTTGTTAACCCTGACAGCTGTATTATGGCTGTTTTAAGTGATTTTGTTTTTAAAGGCTAAAAATGTGTTGGCTAAGCAGTCATGCTTCCATCTTTCTCAGCCACATACGCAGCAGCAGTTTTGTTCCGTATGTCAGAGGACAAACCTCAAGACTACAAGAAGCGCCTCTCTGTAGAACTCACCAGCTCGCTCTTCAGGACAGAACCAATGGCCTGGAACGAGGTGCGACACACTTTTACACAAACTGTGTAATGCTTATTTACATTGTGTAGTCAGTTACAAAGACATGCACAAGTGTTTGTGTAATTGAAACTTTGTCAAATGTTTGCCATGTGTTGCTCTGCAGACAGCAGATCTGGGTTTGGATATCGGAGCTCAGGGTGAGCCTCTGGGCTACAGACCAGAAGGTAAGTCACTCATTTGACACTTGCAAGCAAAGCAGAAGACAAAGGCTTCCCAACTATTACTGCAGTCAAGATAAAAACAGTTGAGCTAATTATCAAACTGGGGATGCTCTAAATGCCTTCTTTGGAAGTCTTTGTACATCTGTGGGCTTAATTTATTATTAAGTTGATATACTCATCTTATCAAGAATGTGATCTGATCTTCATCAGAGTCAAAATTACCGATACGCAATCTGACACAGCTATTACAAATTTGTGTGTCACTAATGAACTTGAAAATATGACTTAATGAAGTAAACCACTTGACCAACAACTTCTCTAAAGATCTACTCGGGGTCGAGATCTTCTAATGAGCTGACACTTAGTGTTTGAGTGTTTCATCTTGACCTAACTGATGATGCATGACCTGAAGGAGGTCTACTGTTAGATATTAGCAAACTAAAAACAGTTCATGTTCTTCCTCAGTGTTGTGCAGCTTTATTATAAACAACTTCAGGAGACATCAGATATAGGTTGGTGCTGTTACAGAAGCTTCTAGCAGTTTTTAAATTTAAGGATCCACTTAAATGTTCCAGTCTGCACCAAGTGATTCCTCAGCATGTTCCAGAAAGACATGAAAAGTGTGTTACTACTTCAGTCACATTGTTCAAAATGGTCTTTAATTCTGACCTGGCTGAAGATCAGACCATCTCTTTAATTATTACCGGCGTCCAGGATTTTGGACACTGTGCCGATCAGTAGGCTAGAGGGCAAGCTGGCGTTGGTTTTAATTTGCAATGCTCTCCAATTCTCCAGCAGTAACAGCTTTAATTGACTCTTCGTCAGCCAAATGAAAACAGACTTGATGTTGATAGATTTAGAAAAGGCCCTGGCTACTGCAGATGCATTCCTGTTGGTGGAAACAACTAAACAGTGACCTGAAGCACAAGTTTAGCTGAAATAAGAGTTAACAGCTTTGGTTTGATTTGGTCTGCTGGAGGGTTGACCGTGTGCTGTGTTGATTTGCAGTGTTACATTTCAGTGATCATACTACTGTGTGTCAGCTTGGTTTGTTAACTTGCTTCTAACAACTGCTCTGCTTCACCTGCGTCTCCTCCATCCATTCCTCCTCCACCAGACCCAAGTTACCGTTCTTTCCATTCGGGGGGTTACGGAGGGGACACAATGGGTATGGAACCCATGATGGATCATGACTTGGGTGGAGGGCACCACCCTGGCCAGGACTACCCCCCTGTAGAAGGGCTGCCTGACCTGGGACATGCCCAGGAACTGATAGAGGGCCTGCCACCTGGCGACTCAAACCAACTGGCCTGGTTTGATACCGACCTGTAAATACCAAGACCAACATTACACTACACTTTCTACTAGGTAAGATTTACTTGGTACCCCCAACCTGCAACTCTGTGGCCTCGTGTCAGCTGAACAGAGTGGTGTTCATTTCAGAGGTGGTTTCTGGATAAAGAGCCCGAGGACTGGGGGAAGTGTCGGTTTACTCCTTGTGCCTGCTGCATGTTCAGACTGCTCCAAATTACAAAGCTGTGTGATGTGGTGTCTGTGAAGTTACTTTGACTTGTATTTGATCTGTATGTGTGGTCCTTCACCCAATGCCTGCCATGCCTCCTCCCCACGGCTCATTTCTCCTCTGCTCTCCCCTTGCAGCTGTATCATGTGATCTGGATGAACCTGCATCGTGATTCGCCCATATGGAGGAGGCGAGGTTTCAGAAGTGCCTGAAGATGACTCAACAACAGCAAGCAGAGTTTCCCGTCTACGGGGACTCCATTGGGACAAACTAGATTTGAGTGCGGTTTGGTTCTGGTTTCAGCCTGATGGGGGCTGACCTCAAATCCTGACATGACACACAGATTTTTCAATAATTAGTTTTCAAATCCCTTTTAATGTAATTTTTTTTTCATTTTTACTTTATTTTTACTTTTTTATTCCGTTTTCCTTAAGTCTGTAATGGTACAACTGAATCTAGCTTGCTTTTTCCATTATTCTGAATTATGATACTCATCTCTTGTTTTTGCAGTCCCTTGTATTTTCAGTCTCTGGTAGTGTTGAGTTATTATTTTTATTTTATTTTATTTTTTTTTAAGTGGTAATGCTCCATCCAAGTAAAGGATCTGATCACATTTTAAATGGTGTCCAAACACTAAAGTTAATCAGTTGAATTGTATTCTGATGATCAAGTGTAACATTGTGTAGCTTTTGTATAAAAACATGAATTGGAAATCATGGTCCAAATATCAAGCTATTTTCTTGCTTTAAAGGGAGACACTGATGTCTCTGCTGTTCCAAAGGGGGTGTAGCTGACCTAGCTGGGTGGGAGTGTCTGAAAGGACAGGGGTGGAGGAGGGCTCCTATTGGTCTGCTGTAAGTGGGTGGGGTAGTGAGAGGAGCTGGTTGCTGTAGCCTGCTGTGTTCTGAAACAATAAAATGGACTGTCATTTCAACTGTATGCCTTTAAGTCTCATTTCTACTCAAATCAAGGATTAACATGAGACACACTTGAAGTCGTATCAGGGAGCAGGGGTATCAAACATAAGGCTTGGGGCCAAGAATTGGCCTGACAGACACACATTTGGCCCACCAGACAGCTTTGGAAATTGTAGAAGGGCATAAACCTTGGACCTAACTATTTAATACATTTTAGTTTTTCCTGCTGACAGACGACCTGCGTACTACACTAAAAGATTTTTGTTGTTTACAAAGGTTCCACAGTGAAATGAAATGGGGCCTTCTCTGAATATAAACCCAAACAGTTGGACTTCATGTAGATGTGCTGTTGACATTGCATTTTCTTATATTACAGTATCTCAGAGATTAAATGTGTAGTGCAACTTCTTTACACTGACAGGAAGGGCAGTTTCAGTGGTCAGACCCACTTAAGATCAAAGTGGGCTGCATGTGGCCCACCATGTAAAATGAGTTTGACATCCCTGGTCTGGAGCCTGCTGCATTAGTTTTACACTTATTGACGGGAAGGTGAGGAGAAACTGATGTGCCAGCAGTCCACCTGCTGTGTGTTCACTGAGACTGTTGAAATCTACTTAAACTGTGTACAGTGGCAAGTTGGGTCCAGCTTTAATGCGATGAGTCAAAGTTGCAGAAAATTCAGTGTGCTGTGAACTAAAAGCCTGCTGGTGGTGTCCACGTGTGGATGTCTAGGATGGTGGTACATGGACAGCTGAGGTAGCTTAAGGACATATTCAATGACTAAGCATAATCTTTCTAACATGACCTCTACCTCACCTATTTAACCCGACTTCATTCAGCTTCTTAGAACATTTAAGTGTCATTCTTTCATTTTAAGTTCAAACACTTCTCAGTAATGAAATATTTAATTATGCAAAGTAATTATATTCAGTTAAAAAAATTGGGAATGTAACAGTAGGCAGAGATCAGGTATACACTGGATTATACACAGGAAAATGACTTCATTACAATGATATGACCTAACTTGTGTAAAAGCAGAGCTGGATGATTTATGCACAACTCAGTTGATGTGGTGAACCACTTTGGTATTAATGGTTTTTCACGGCACTAGTCTGCTACAAGTAAACAGAACAACTTCCTTTTTAGTGCTGGAATACCAACAAAAAATAGTTTGTAGATGTCGCCATTAGCTTCATGTTATTACAAAGTAGAAATCTATGACTCGTGACGATGGCATGCGTGATCTAATATTCTGTCACTGCTGATGACACGAGGTGTGTTGACACACTCAGAGGTCAGTATTGTGATGCCAATGACAGTCTAAATTAACACTTATGCTGTAATCCTGTGAAGTTTGATGAACACTGGATGCATGTTTTGATTGCCCTCTCAAGACATTTTAGTGACACTAATATTTGTTACTGCCACTGATCCAATTTGAAATGATGACAGTCATATGGAGGCATGGCTGAATGCTCTGAAAGCTTTTAGGATTCAGAGATCTCTTGAAGGATATCAGCAGCCAGGCCAGTGACATCAGTGTGATACCTGTGATGGGGAAACATAAAAAATGAGTAGTATTACTGGCATGCTATCTATCCAGTGATAATTAACCATTGATGAGCGCAAACAGCTTAATCAAAGACACAATTACAATAAAATAGATCAGGGTTCTTAAGCATGCTGAGCAATGAAACAGGTGCAGCCACTTAGCATGGTACTGAGTGGACTGAATTAGTAATTAGACTACTACATTTATTTCTGCTCCGCAAACATAAAACTTTACATCCCAATTTCAGCCCACATGAACCTGTGCTTATTAAATAGATATTGTATGTGTTCTGTAGTAAGACAATTAAAAAACATATACAAGTGTATAAATAATGCTTTTCACAATTCTGTACAAACATACATCTATATATGATAATTAAGACTTGATGAAAACATCCAATCTGCCCAGGCCCCTCTAGGCTGTCTATAATTTACTCCTGCTCTCCCCCTCTTATCACCCCCCTCCCCCCTCCACTTACTCCCAGGTGTCTTTGGGGGCAACCTGACAGCCAGGCCAGAAGAAGCCCACCCACCCCTCTTAGTTAATTAAAACCTACATAATTAACCTAATTAACACATTTCCCAGAGGTCTCGGAAACCCTTGAAAGTTTGTGGATCTGGAAAACATAAATTGGGTCCATAAAAGTTTTAGGACAAACTTTAGAGTTTGGTTACTCATTAAATCCTTGCACTCTTAACAGCCTCAAATTGACACAGCTGCACAGAGAACAGCGGAAAATAAAATAATTGGTTTTAGATTACAGTATCGCATTAGCCTCACACTCTGCTTACACCAACATGTGGGATGTCTGCTGTGTGGAATCTGTGTGCTTTCCATTATTTAAGAAAACAAACAAACAGAAGAACTCATCAGAAAGAAGACAATCATCTGCAGTTCCTTTAGCGGTAGACTCACTCACAACTCAACCCAAAGATTATTGTTGTTGTTGTTTTTGTTCAGATTAAATAAACAACTAAATGATTTCAAAAGGTGAGTCTAAGAGTTTCCGCTGCCTTCCATTGCTCCTGCTGTGCTGTCAGTCCCACTCTGTCCTCTTACAGTTTTGATTCTGCACTGATTTCTGTAGAAATGCAGCCCTTCAACTTGAATTTCTGTTTGGGGAAAATGACAAAGCTGCAGGGAGCCAAACCTCATGAGCAGAGTGAGTGGTTGGCAACAATAGTGCTGATCAGGACTGAACAACAGCAAAACTTAAAATGTGGTTTGCTGGCCACTGGAATTCACTGTGTTTGTGGCAAAAGTCCTCCCTCTGACACCTCAAGATATCGTATTGAAAGTCACTGCTGATAATCTAATCCCGGGGGACAAATGTATGGTGTACAAGCCATTTTAAATAACAAAACCAAAACACAATACACCTTTGTGCTCAGACACTGCAGACTCTTCTCTGGAGCTTAGCCAGAGATCCAGATAATGTGCTCTCTCTGCACAAGCCTGAGGTCCAAGCTAATATCAGATGGGTATGTGGTAAGTGTTCAGAGTGGGACTCCCATGAAGCAATCTAAAACCAACCCGAGTGCTGGAAGCAGTGCAGAAGTGCATGGAGATGACTTTGAATGGTTAACAAAGGAGGCTTGCCAATTTTAAATCTGTAAACTTTTGCTTTTCATGGGTGAAGTATTTTCTCTTTAGCTGCTTAATTCAACCCAGAGATTAATGTGATCAGCCCACCACTACATTTAGAGACTTTCAAGGAAGATCAGACAGCTTATTATTCTTTTAATGGTACCGCATGTGTACACTGCATCTAGTTTCACCATGTTAATGTTTGCATTTTGATAAAATTCTGAATGATTGACCTCAGAGTGTGTTTGTAGAAGAGTTGTGCAGTTTTCTGATCTGTCTTTGTTGTCTGAGCAGATATTACTGAGGCTTTGACTCACTGAAAGCAGCATTAACTAGGTTTATGTTGAGAACCTCAATGCTTTTTCTTCAGGAACGGGGAGTATATTCTATTGCTCCTCCCCACCCTTCACCCTTGGTCAGGCTTGAGGTTTTGAAAAGGCATTCCTCAGGTTGCCATGGCAAAGTGTGAATGACATCATTTGGGTTAGGATCTTAGCCCAGACCTCCCCTCTCTCTTTTCCATCCTTCTTCCGTCTCCTACCTCGGCGCCAGCTCCTCTCATCCTCTCAATTAAAACCTCTCTTCAACCCTTCTTCCCATCCCTTTCCACTCCTCTTCTCTCTCCTTGTAACTCCTCTCATCTCCTGCCCTTTCTCCTAAAACCTCTGCTCCCCTCCTCCTCCTGCTAAACCAGTGGGAGGGTGCCAGTCTCTGCCACTTCAAAGGCTGGAGCTGATCTGTGCTTTCATCTACCAAAGAGGGACAGGAGAGTGAGGAGATGAGGCGAGAGAAGAGAAGTGGGAGAGCACAAGAGGGAACGAAAGAAAGAAAACCAAGAAAAAGGAAAGAAAATTGTGGAGAAAGAGAGAAGGAGGAGGAGGAGGACAGGAGGAGGAGGAGAGGAGGGTGACAAAGGGGGAAGAAAAGGGTGACCAAGGAGAAAAGAGGGAGGCGGGGAGCACAGAATAGGAGAGGCCTCTATAGCAGGGCAACAATACACCTTCATTATTGATCTGACAGGGTGTATGTGTGATTGCAGAGAGTTTGTATATAAATGAGAATAAAGGACTCTATTTGCGTGTATTCATTGTGTGTGGATGTGTGTGTGCATGTGTGGATGTGTGTGTGCGAAAGGTTGCTAGTCTCATACATCAGAAGATCAAAAGAAGCACGGTCACTACGGTGACAAAAGCCTTGGCCCTATGAGGGGAAACACAACTGGCTGACATACTCATAAAAGACAGCCAGATGCAGAGATGCAGGTGTGCACATGAAAACATGCACTCACATACACACAAACTCCTTCATATGGTAAATATAAAAGAAGTCATTATTTTACATATATGAAAAGGCGGGTGGAGGCGACGACTGCATTTGTATTAATACTGACCCATAGAGTGAAGCATGGGACATATATACAGTAAAACATATATAAAAAACACATATATAAAAAAATATTTTATAATTAAAGATAAAAGAGGGCTGTTGGAGTTTCAAAACTGGTGTTTCTTTAAAAGAGAGAAGTGCAGATTATGTTTCCTGTCCCTGGTAACAGATGTCAAGACTTAAATATACGTTTTTAATAGTGTACATATTTCATCTCAGAGCTTTTTCTTGCCATTAAGCTACCCTGCTCTGTTACAGGCGCATGTCCTGTCAATTAACTAGACAAAGATCAGTTCTGACATGCATGGAAATAATAAGACGTGGGAATGGGCAGTATCAAAATCCAGAATCATTTGTTATTGGTATGTTTGGAGATTTGGTCTCAAAAACAAAATAGGAAAGCATGGATTACATAGCCAGATATACTGCATGCACTCACAGACTAAAGAAAGCTGATGGACTCTCTGTGTCTCACCTTTCTATCAGGTGAGACTAAGAGCAACTTGCCATGATTGCTTATTGAGCAGAGCCCAACAGAGGGAGTTGCTTCATCAGGGAGGAGGGAGAGTAGCTGGTGTCTTTGACAGGCTGCTGTCACGTAGGCTGAATAAAGGAGGGCAACTAAAGGTAGATTTGATACAATTACAATTTTTTAGGAATAAAATGATCAGATCTCATTTTATTACTCATATGGTCTAAACACTGTAAGTCACAGTTATAGACTGATATAAAACAAATCATCTTGTGCTCTTTCAAGTGTAGAAAACATGAAATAATCGCTCACTTTTTAAAACTTGGTAAACCTCAGATGTCTCCTGTAGCTCTTTATGAGACTTACACAAAAATGAGAAAACCAATCCTACAATACAGTTTCAGTTCATTAATAATTATGGGATGTATTAACTGAACCTTTCTGTTTCAGGTCCTGTCACATCATCAGTCAGTGTAAGATCAGGACTCTGACGTTTCCATTCAAAACTTGAATATCCTTCTTTTTTAACCCTTCAACTGATTTATGATTGCTGTTTGAACCATTCTCAAGTTACATGACCCAGCCCTGTCAAGCTTTTATTTATTTGTTTTCTTCTTTTACAATTTTGAATTCAGTTGGTTTCTCTACTGACCACAATGTGTCCAGTAAATAATGTAGAAAAACAGCTCCAAACCATGGTGCTTGCTCCACTGTGCTTTACAGCTGGGATGAGGTTTTGTTGTTGGTTTAAGTTTCTTGTTTTCCCTTACAAATAATTACGTTTCATTTAATTTAAAACTTTTGTCTCCTCTGCTCACATCTCTGAAGTGCTGTGAGACATCAGTGGGATTCTTTGGAAATGTGGGACGTGCCACTGAGATTATTTTTAGGCGCTGGTATTTCCCAGTATGTTTGCTCTTTTTTTGTTGGCCGATATGGCTTTTTTCATGGCTTTTTATTGACACCAATCTTATTTGATGTTTAAGTTTCCTCCATTTGTAGTTTATCTTATTGTATAAAGATGAACATCCAGATCTTCAAAAATGCTTCTGTAGTCTTTTACAGATTTGTGTATTGCTGTAATACTTTTATCAGAAGTTCAAACCAACCAATATTTTGTTAGTGGAGCAGATTTTGAGGGGCACCTCAACAACCCATACTTACAGTCTCACCTCCTTAATTAGTGTACTTGACAGCAAATATCTTAAAACTAAGTATACTGTTATTATCTAGTAAGTAACTTTCTATCAGACAAGAACAGTGCAGAAATCATGGTAATACAAATAAGTTCACAGACATTTTCTTACAAATGTATCCCTGGAATCATCTCAGGATCCCACAGGAAGTGGGGGAATCCTGATTCGGGTAGCAGCTGATGCCTTTGTGTTATATCAAATTACTGGGATGGATAATGAGCTGATCCTCTAAAAGACACACACAAACAGCAGAAACATGCACCTGTTGGATGTGGTCATATCGTGCAGTAGACTCATTAGCTCCGCCCCCTCAGGACATTCGCTCCAATCTGACCTGTCCGTAGCCTGAACCTGAAAAAAGTGAGCGACACAGGTTGAATAAATGTTCACCCCAGCCTGCATGTATAAGAGCAGAGAGTTACTTTACAGGACACACTGTTGGAACAGTTTAATAAGAAGTGATGACTTCTTTACTTATGGTCCTTACTAAGTTTGTGGTGAAATGTGCACATCACTCAAAGCCGAGAAAACGTGAACTTTAACCTTTAGTCAGTTCTGGCACAGCTCTCTGTTTAACCCTTGTGACCTTAAAAGAATACTTAATATAATGTTTCTTTTTGTGGTCTGTTTGACTAATTACACACACACACACACACACACACACACACACACACACA